ATTTCACGAAATTTCACTAGGCCGTGAAAAATTTCATATTTTTCAGGGGCTAGAGTATGCAACCCACACTCAAACGCAAAAAAAAGAAGAAAGGCGCAATTTTTTACATTTTGCGAAACATAAAAAAGAACCGGTATCTTTCAATATCTGCCATAAATTTCTGAAATTTCATGAAATTTTTCACATGACTTTTCATGAAATTTTGCCACGATGCCCGACCTCATCAATCGCCTCTATTGAAAAAAAAGCAATGTAAAAGTTGAACTAGTGTATTGTCGTAAGACTTCTGAAACGAATTTAATAAAGGATTCTCGAGAAAATAGGCTGAACACGTTGACGAGCTCGAAACAACTTCTGGGGGAATTCTTTTTTAGTTTTTCTCGTCAAATCAGAACTTTTTTCTGCGTAATAAAGTAGGAAAGAAACTTAAATTACCCTAAAGTTTTGATCTTGATCGCCCCGAGCGTTAGGTATTAGGATTCCTACTCTGCCGTGCTAAGGAAAAACTCCGTATGAACCTTCAGGCGTTGCCAAATTTCCTCTCATGAAATGCGAATTCCCTGGTAAATTTATGAATATTTTCTTAGCCAATTTTCCAGATGATTTAGTTCTCAGCTTTACCTGAAGATTCTGAAAATTTGAAGGAAAAATATCCATTAATTTCCTAAAATATAAACATTTTCTCGAAGGAAATTTGGCAACTCTGGAATGTCCATACGGCGTTCTTCCTTAGCACGGCAGTGTTTACCTACTCAATTTTGGAGATATTATATTCCTAGATGAAAGCATGCAGTCGTTGAGCGAGTGATCTTATGTCTCTGATTCCTCAGATGTATCACCTTTAGACTGCCCGAACGGTGCAAAGTTTTTCGGAGATGGCTCAATATTTATGTACCTAGTTGATAAGATCAGCCTTTGTCACCTTGCTCTGGATAAGGGTTCTTATGAATTCTCATTCCTGGGTCTCTTTTATCTTTTGACTCCTATCTAAGTGAGCTACGCGCGCCTGATTGCCTGAGTTCACGTGTTGCGGAGTGCGGGTGCTGAATTTTCTTAGCTCTCATATTTTCAACTTACCCTCGATACAGACATGATAATTTCGTTTGACAGCACCTACACTCTTTCAGCCGTAAAGATAAAAACACATTTATTAATTAAAAATTACGGTGCACAAGGGTTGGGTTTTTGATAATACATCTAGATTTTTGCGCGCTGTCCATTTTACGGTCGAAAACGGGTCAGCGATTTCTTCTGCTCTTGAATGCGATTTTGACGTATTCATCGCACGAATAGAGCTTTTTTCTGCGAATTCCTAAACTCAATCGTTAGCTTCGTAAACAGTGGACCCTGTCCGATTTATTTGCAGTTTTCACAAAATTCATTGAAAATGAAAGGGAAATAACCCATCACGGAATTAGAGCAGGGAACGAATTTTCTTGTGATAGTTTCAAAGTTTGTAATGCGTTTAACTTAGAAATTGAGATAGCGTGTACTGAATAAGTGATTAGCCTAATAGTTTAGCCACATTTTATGATTTTGGACGAATATCGGAACTCTTCCGCAAGGCTAGCGCCTGCAAGATTTGCCATGCGACTATTTCGACGTGAGTGCTGGTTTTGTGCATACTCGATGGATTGAAGGCGCTTCGCTCACTCTCCTCAACGAGTGCTCAGCTTTTTACTTGGCTTCGGCACTTTCGACGCTCCGTAACCGAAATTTCAATCACTTTATTATCAAGTTCTGTCATCTTCTCCAACTGATAACCCCGCTCAGCTCTCTTTCGCGGTTTTTCGCATCGCTTTTTACTCTTGATAACTTTTTTGTAGGTCAGTGATGTTGTTAACATTTATGAATTATTCATATCTACCACACAAAGTAACCGTAACTCCTTTTTTAAAAAGCAAGTTTGATAGTCATGCGAGTGTTATTCATTATTATCAATCGATAGAATTATTTCTCCTCGATGTTATCAGTACAATCGCGTTCTAACAATTCATGTTTGCGCCGTTTTACGAAGTTCCTTCGCATTTACCGCATCCCATTTTTCGATTTAATGTTTTCAAAAGTAAAAGCATTGTGTCGGATGAAAACATTTGAGCTCTCAACAAGTTTCCAAATCGCCCGTAAACTACGTATAACTGCTGTATGTTTATTTAGGCAAAATTTCGAAAGATTGTTATTCTGAGGTCCCGTTTTAACCTGGCGTTGAGGATTTCACAAGCGCTGATACGGTTCGCACAATGAAGTGTCCGGAAGTCTGATATTTTGACCGATACTTGACAGATCTTCCGGATTTTGTGTTGTCACCGAAACAAAACAGATGTCAGACCAGAATTCTGAAGGTCTCTTGGCCAACCAGCCGGAGAGTTTCGAAAAGCGCATTATTTCGGGTCGATTTTACCGCCTCGAGCCAACTGTTGGAGAACGGAGAATATCGCGAGTTGCTTTCTAGTGGTACTGGTCGTGCACGCGTACAAACAACCCTGACGAAATTTATATTTGTAAACGGAGGTTTCTTTTCCCTCATGGGTGCAGCCACCGATGCCTTGTTTATCAAGAATGTACTGAGGGCGGTGATTTGGAAATAGTTCAGCTGATCGTCGAGAGATCGATGCATCATTTCAACCCTCTTTTTTAAACTGATTTCACCTCCCTCGTTTGAATGGAATATTTACCGAAAATTCCCCTGTTTCTGACAAATTTTTCTTTCAAAAGGAGGGATCTATTTTCTTTCTCTGAGACCTCAGAGAGGTTGCGAATAGGCCTTAGTCAGGTAAATCATCCACCGCGTTAATACTTTAATTTTAGAATTAAAAATTTAAAAAATTAAACCAGAATTAGAAAGAACACAGTTGAATATACCCTCTTTAAGCCTTCCAGTTCTTGTGTTTAAAATGTCGTAAATTTAATTTTTCATCATGGAATATCGGTCGCACTTATTTCAAAAAGCAATACCCTTATGCTTCTCCCATTTCTGGCTTCGATCAATTCACGTTAGGTTTTACCTACAAGTTCGCAAAAAGTGTCCGTACTTTTTTTTAACTCTCTCGTGGAACTCATCAATTCGTGAATTGTTCGTTGACCTCAAAGAGAAGTCGATCCTCTCAAAATAGCTCAACATCTCATCGAAAAAAAACTCATCATACTTAGGTTTTCAAAACCGCCTTCCTGCAGTAATATGCTCTATATATTTAATCTAATTAATATTTTAACCGGGGGGCTTACAAGTTGTTTGTAGTCACACTAGAGAAAGTAGTGACTTGAATTTACCGCCAAGAAGATTTCCTCTTATTTAAAAAGTAAAATTGCTCAAATCAAGCGTTCTTGTTTGTTATAAACGCCTTTTCCTCTTGAATCAAGAGAAAACTCTTCCTGGCGGCAAATTCAAGAACATTTTTATTTAAATCAAGTCACCCCCTTCTGAGCGCACTCTGCCTAAGACTCGTTCATTTCAAACCACCGAAAAAATTAATGCAAGAATCCAGTTTGCACATGACAACGCGGCAATGTCGCGTCGTAAGGAGTATCATGTCCAATGCATATCCATTGCAATCTCGCGCATTCCTCGCCACGCCGCGAGCAGAGGGAGCGAGCTTTGATATTTTTTCCTGAAAGTGTCTTATCACGGCTCACCTATCCAGGTATAGGTATGCCGAGACAGTGATAAGGTTTATCAGTAGCCTTGGATCTTACCTTACCTGTGAGCGGCAATGCTATGGTCACTGGTAGCGTCTTTTTCGATTAATATTTGTCTGACAGTGAGCTGGGTTTCGTCTCCAGTGGCGCGGCGTGCTTTGCGATATATCGACTGATCGGCCGTATAAACCTATGGAAAAGTATCGATAAACATGGTATCGCAGCGAACACCTTAATAATCGATTCTTTACTATAGCTTCAAGGGGGGAAATGTCGATATATATCGAAGCACGCCACGCCACTGGATCGTCTCTCCTACGTGGAATTCCGACGCTCTGATCGTGAGTCGTGGCAGTGCTCTGCTCAGTGAAATTCTATCTCGATTCCCGCCAAAATTGTCCACGTTCTTGGCGGAAGTTCACGCGTCAGAAGAGTAATAGAATGCGTTTATGAATAAAAAAGTATCTGCTTTTTCCATTTTATGCTCGGGGAGAAAATTATGAATTCCTCCAAGCTTCTACTAACCAATCTACTATGATTTGAAAGAGCACGATTTGCCTGATCCATGTCGTGTTACTTAATTCGCAAAGGCTTAAAATAATACATTTACCGGAATTACATATTTTTGAGTCCAGAGAATATATTTCAGATTAACTTCTGTAGCTCGAATGCGTTCGAAGGTTCGGAACATGCCTGAAGCACTTAAATAACGTTTTCTTTAAGTAAAAGCAAAAACTTATGCTTCCTTTTAGTTCGACTTTCCACTCCAGCCACGCGAAGCATCAATAATCATTTGCCGACCCGCTTTGAAGCCCCTTCAATTGTATCCGATGCAACTTTTCAATCGCTACCCACGCATAACCGGTTGGTCGGTCAGTTTTCAGCGCGCGACAGGAATTTGCTGCATAGTACTCAATGCTGTGTCTTTCCGCCAGGACAATTAATTTCCCTGGCGTCCTCTAAGTTTCAACCCGTTTCAAGCTTTTGTTAGATGTATTGAGAGGCTTTAAGCTTAATACACGAGCATTCATAAGACAATATCATCCTCAGCTTAAGTTTTATGCTCGATACCTGTGGGAGATATCACCGGACATGTAACGGTTCGCCATGAATGGAGTGCCTTCAATTTCGCGCGATGCAATTACTTCATCACTTCCTTTATCGCATCGAATCTGCAAGAGCTTAGTTTACAAAATTCGTGAATCTTCGTTTTGGAAAGGGCGTTCTGGTTATTCACCGAGACGTGTGTTGGTCTTAGAACTAATAGTTTAGGTATTCATCAGCAATTTTGTAAACTGCAACTAGATATTTTTTTTTGGCTTTTACGCTAAATTTTCACGAGTTCCGTAATTTTTGTGTTTCAGGTCTGCCAAAACTCCTGACTCCGATATCAAGAAGAAGAAGAGTCCTGGACGGATGAAAATAGGGCAGATATTTCGCCGCAGTCACAGCAAAGAGAATCCTGGGTGCTTATTCGGATTACCGCTGACCAAAATTGTTGACGGTGATGAACTTCCTAGGCCAGTCATGGTAAGATTATTTTGAAATCACGTGATTCAGTAATTGAAACACACAAGACTCGTGAATTGTATTTCATGGCGCGAAAGACATTTAATTTTAAAAAAAATCACTCTTACTGTGATGTTTTTCGCCTGAAGAATACACCCTTAAACTCTGATTTACAATTGAGAAGCTTTTCATTAGATGGTAGTCATTAAAATCTTGCAATGATTAGCTATTTGCGAGACGAATTTAGCCCCTGGACAAAATTTCTCAGTATTTTAAATTTATTGTGAAAAAAACGTGAATTTGTTCGAGTAATCTTCTGGAAAAAACTGAATGTTTGATTTCACTCAGTCGCAAATTTAATACATCAAGTTGCATGATCTTAGTGGCATTGCTCCGTTTATATGCCATTTTTTAAAGGAAATAATGACCTAATGGCATGGATAAAACCTTTTCTCAGTGTTTTTAAATATAATTTAACTAGCTGCTTAAGAATGGGTCACTTACTCGGTGCTCAAACCAAGAAATCACGAGGGAAATAGTGGGGGACACCCTCTCCCACCCCCATTTCCTAATATTTGTCGAGGGGTAAGGTATCTATTTTCAGATGAGATGCGAGTCCCAGAGCGATCGTAATCTTATGGACTAAAGGACTTATCCGGAAGTGGAAATTATGTTTTCTTTCAACATGTACGAACTGAAGAAAATGGTTAAAAAATCTCCACGAGACACGGTTCTCTTGACTCGTTAGAAACGCCTTCAATTTCATCCGACGCAATTTCACTATCATCGATTCACGCCCAGTGAGGCGCCTTCAATTTCGTCCGAGGCAACTTTTCATTCACTCGTATCGCACCAACACCCCATGAAGCCGGTATAGGTGTGCGATTCAGCTAGACGCTAAAATATTCAGGTATATTTTGTCAGGAGCATTGTATGCAGATTACATAATGAGACTTTTTAATGGATTTTTAGCTCTTTATCCATTTTCATTCTTAAATCATCTTAAATTTAGTCGATTACTGATCAAGGAAATCACGTTTCAGGCGATGCTGCAGCAGATTCATTCGAAAGGGCCGTTCACGCAAGGGATCTTCCGGAAGTCAGCCAACGCCAAGCTGGTCAGGGACCTGCGAGACAAGCTAGATTCCGGCGAAGAGGTGATCTTCGAGCACGTGCCTGTCCTTGCCACTGCGGCCCTCCTCAAGGACTTTCTCCGCTCCCTGCCTGACCCGCTCCTTGTCTCTGCCCTCTACTCACAGTGGAAGGCCGCCCTAGATACCCCCAATATTCACCATAAATTACTTAGGCTTAAAGGGTAGGTTTTCATCACTTATTCTCCTTCTGGGCTCCGAGTGATCTGAAAAGTCAGTGAGTCAGTGTTCAGGGTTTTCTGCTGACATGATCTTAAGAGATTTTGGGGTACCTATGAGATTAGTCTGCTTTAATTGGACTGCATTTTGCAATTTGGACCTATAAATTCTGGCTCATCTGAAAAAACACTTATGTGCATAGAGAAACTAATGGCACATACGTTGTTTCTAAACCGGGCCGGAATTTATAGGTCCAAATTGCAAAATGCAGTCCAATTAGAAGGGAGATCATACCTGTCCAACACCCTATGATCTATACCTAAGGATTGTTTTTTCTGTCTGAACTCTTCAAACAGCATTATACAAAGCAAAAGAAGTCCTGAAGAGTCCTGCATGAGACTCGTGAAAAAGAATGATTAGGAAGCAACAGCCAAGTGATTTTTTCATGCACATAATATAATATCACATAATATTCAAAAATGAAACTTTTTGACTGGGAGAGGAAGCATACAAATTAGGAAATTTGATTGAGTCAGGTAGAACTTATCCTGAGTTGAAAATTCAAATTGTTCAGGAAATTCAGCGAAAAAATTAATTTTGGACCAAAAATCCTGATTCGCATTTATCAATGTCAAATGCTTTTTATCACTTTCTCAATCATCAAGTTAATTATTTCGAGCCATAATGTGCAAAATTGAGGGTGTACGAATATTCTATACCAATTAAGGTTTCTAAAGGTGGCAACACCATTATTAGCATACCTACCTTAAGTAGGTTGTTCTTAAATTCTAGATATATCGTTCCTTAAAACTTCGAGATTTTGCGGAAAGTCAATCTTTGGTTGTTCTTATCGAGGTAGGTATGATACAAAGTGGGTCCCTCTAAACTGTGGTTCATGTATTTCATGTTTATTTTTTTTTTTACCTCGTGAATTATTCTGCTTGATTTAAGGACAAATAATAGTCCTTAGTTTTCTCAAGCATGATTATGATGAATTAAACAGACTAGGTATGTTGCATCACTTACCTGGCAATGTAAATCTTTAATTCAAGTATGCTAATTATGATTATTATTGTTTGTTACAGTGTTCTCCAACAATTACCGAGACCCAACTACATTCTACTCAGTCATTTCGTTTGTGTGCTCCATCACATTGCTCGGAGAAGTTCTCAGAACCTCATGTCAGCAAGTAACTTAGGAGTTTGTGTAGGGCCATCTCTTTTATGGAGTAACAATCCTCACACCCCAGATCTGCGAACGATCCCTGCCTTAGTCGAGTGTTTGATTACCCATTGTGAGATTCTCCTTGGCTCACAAGTGCCCCAACTTCTAGGGGATCCTCGAGATTCTGGCACTGAAGAATCTGATTGTAAGTTGACTTGTCTTTATTGTTTCAGAACTAAATTGTGCTCTAAAATTATTTGGAATGGAGAACACTTTGAACAGCTATAAAATTTTCATGGGAAAATTGTCTTTCATCACTGACAAGATAGAATTACCTACGTAGTTTTCTCAAAATTTAACAGTTTTTCTGCAAGGCAGATTATAAAACTTGTAGAAAATCTGACGAAATTTCATCTCTTCGAAATAGCCTATGATGCTTAGAGAAGGAGCATCTGAATTTTATCTACTTTTCCATTACAAATGTGACTCAAAATTGGAAGAAACTTCAGGGAATCTTAAAAAAATTGAGAGAATTCTAAAAAAAGTTTTCGAAATCTCAAGGGAAAAAATAGCGAAGGTGTTCCTCTAGTTTTACCTCGTACTTTGTTTTGAAGAATGGCTCTTCATTCTTGTCTTGAGTTAATTTTTTTGGTCATCTCTTATTGTAATATGATCTGTTTGTCATTCTTTATGACTCCATTGAGGAAGATAAAAAAATGTCACTTAAAAATAACAATATACCAAAAAGTAGTGAATTTATGTTTATCAATCTTTCTTTTTCCTGTTCCAGCTCTGAGAAGGGATGATTCCTCTATTGATAGTTTAGAATGTAGTCCTCCCCCTCGGAAAGACAAGATTTCATTAAGCAGAGATTCAGGCCTCACGATGTCGGACTCTCAGCTTTACACCCCAGATGAGGAAGAAAGTAGTTCTAGCTCCAGTGGATATGATCCAGCATTCGATCAACATGCAAAGGTATGCACTTCAAGTCACTCAAATGAATTATTTTCTTCATTTCTCTGAACAGAAAGCAGGAAATATCAATATTCATTACAAAAAACTCAGTGAGATAAAGTTCATAGTTCTCATTGCAGATGTTGTCTTCCCAGAGAAAACAAACAAAATAATCGCTTGCCAAGACAGCTCAAAGATGCTTAAGTTAATCTCTCTTCGTATTAAATCATTAACTTGCTCGCTCAAAAGTACCTCGCACAGAATTTAATCAGCAGTCAAAACATTTCATCTGATCAGTTTCCTGGTCTACTTATAGGTCCTCAGCTTTGTAAGCATCTTATATTTTCCTCTGCTAACGTCAAATGTCTTTTGTTTAGGTGACGACAGCTCTGTCGATGCCCAATGAGTATGTACGAGTGTACGGTGGCTGGGAAGAAAGACTGAATCCTAACTTTCAGCGGCAGGCCTGGTTCAGGCAGAGGTCTCGAAGGCTTCACTCAACGTCAAAACAAGCGGAAAAAGCCCGCAACAACCACCTGAGCAATAACAACAACAGCAACAACACTCACAACCATAATCACCAACCAGTCATGGCCTTCAGTCCTGGTGAGCAGTATTACCCTGCTAGGGAGCAAAGGAACCATTTGGAGCCGGTTGAGCCGGTCGAATATGATGACTCAAGCACTCTATCAGATGATGACTGTACACCTCATATCTCTAGGTAAGTTTCAGAATTTTTCCATTTTTGTGTTGGCACCAATTTCATTTGCACCCAATTCAAAATTGAACCATTGATTAAGTTGTATCCATAGAATGTTAAATGTAATATTCGGGCGGAAAGAGAAGCATGTTTATGAGCAATGCAGTGATAAATATTGCTCTATAAACTGCTAATATATTTAATGTGTGATTTCAGCACTGAAAAATATAGTTATATATAGTTCTATCTCCATCCAACAAAAAAAAAAATATGTCGTTTACTTTGTATTTTGTCTATTTATTGAAATGGTGGACGACCGCCCAAGAGATGGGCACAGAGCTGCCTTTCATCTCCGGAGGACCATTAAGTGATCTCTCTCATCACCGTCATATTTTACTAATTTGGAGGCTAGACAAACAGGGTTTCGGCCCTAGTCTAAAGTTAGAAGAAGAAGAAGAAGATTTAAATGGTGTATAAACCCTTGATTTGATTGAAGTCTGTGGAAAAATCTCTCAGGCGAAATTCTCTCCTCTAATTTAAATTAAACTCTCCCCCCCCCCTCTTTTCGGGGTTTATCAAAAAATGTTCAACATTCTTCATTATTGTTTCTTTTTATCTTTCCTAAAAATTTCAACCATAGAATACTGGTTTAAGACCATTTCTTTGATTGCTAGGTTTGTAATCTAGGATCCATTCTTCACTTGCTAGCATTTTTAATGAGGGCACTTTTTAATCTGTTTCAGATCAAATTCTCGGAGCAACGAAGTCACCACCAAGTTGCGGCACCTACCACCGGTTCATGTAGACACATGTTATGTACGGAGCCGGCTGAAACAAAAGGAGGACACGCCCGCCCACCGATCTAAGTCGCTACCCCCACCACCTCCCTACCGCCCGCCTCCACCGGTGAATGGTAGGCGTCCCATAACGACATATCATTTAGGCGATAATCAAAGGCAGATGTATTTCGTTCCAAGAACTTTTGTTGATGAAGAGTCATATGTCTGATTTTTCAATTGTTGTCAAATGATCAAGTGACGCTGTCTCTTTTTTTCATTTAATTTGGTTTCTCATTTTTGTCAGCTTGACTATCAAAGCAAGAATTACTGTTACAATATTGATAGCATTGCCTCTATCATTATAGCTTACCCATTTTAAGTACCTAATTGTCTTGGTTCAACTGTGGTTTACTTATTCAATATGTCTTAAAAAAGAAATTGGGAGTTAATGTTGGCAGATAAACTACCCACTAGAATTCTGCTGATGGAAGTTTCTGATGTTATTTTCAGTACAAAGACCTGTTAATTTAACTTACTTTATTTTTAATTTTCTAAAATCAATGAAGCACATTGCCTATTGACACAAGAATACAGTAAAAGTAATGTTTTCCCCTCTGGATTAATTACAAGCAATGTAAGCTTGTCGCATTTAATTTGGATTCCCCATTTTATGTCTGTTTTCATAATTCCTCGCCGAAGAAATTAAATTCTTGCAGTTCTTTTACATCCTGAAGACTGAGTCCACATTATTGGGTGTATTTTTAAAATTTAAAAATAGCATTCTATAATTTTTGGTAAAAGGTACTGCTAATTTTCTTCCTTCATGTAATTGAAAAATTAGATTAAAGGAAGTTGGTGACAGCAGCAGCCCTTTTTAATCCCGGTGTGTCTTCCGCATGTTTGATTCGATTATCGCACAGAAAAAATTTTTATATTCACAAGGTGGCATGAGGGACATTTTGAACCAATTTGGTTGGTTTGCTTAGGCAGGGAACAAAATATTCGACAACGCTTGAGTTTGAATAGTGCATGTCCCTAGTACTTTGAAGTATTGGCATGATCAGAAGATATAAGGAGTTAAATAATTGTCTCTGCCTGACCCGATGAACCAAATTCAATTGTACTCTGTGCCTGCCTTGTCAACCAACATTGTTCCTCCATTTAATTTCTATCAATGCCTTGAAGACTGTTCTTTTAACTTATAATACTCTCATTGTCAGATCCCCTGTTTTAAGGCACGATCTCATTACTCAAGATTTACTTATGGTTATCCCCTCCTTAGAAAAATATATCAATGCTTTTTCAAGAAAAAAAATAAAGAAAAGTAAATTTAATTCCACTGAACTAATAGAGAAAAGGAATGTCTTTATTTCCTCTGTTTACTGACTGAGCCAGACTGAACACAAATATTTCCAGTTTTTGTTTTTTGTTTATTAATGATTATCCGTTTTTCTTTTTGCTAACTCATCTCTTGAATACAGAATGAGAAAGCAAAACTAAAAATGAATTCGTCACTGACACTGATCTGCTGTAGGACAACAAATTTACTATGACTTCTTTCACTGAAAGTGAAATTTTTCTTTGAAGAATATTGGTGCCTTTTTATGTGTAACTGTGTAATTTTCTTCCTGTTTTCAAATTGATTTGTACAATTAGATGGTTATTTTTTGAAGCCTTGAATGGTTTGTTTTTATTTTTATGTGTATGTGTCATAATACGGATACTGTCTGATTAAGGAGTCTTGACTCGAAATCTACCAAATCTAAAAGATGTTTTCGAAGATAGTATTGTGTAGTTAGCAAGCATTTGAAATGGCCATTATTGATTTTCAGTTTTTACCATGTAATCAAGTAAATAAAAATATGTACATACATCTCAATGGAGAAGAAAGAAAAAACTCTTTGTATGATGTAAATAGTATCAGGAAGGTTCAGTCATTTTTTGTTGATTAACATTGTCCCCATGTTACCAAAAAAGTATTAGTTGTAAAGCATTGAATATTTTAAATTTATGATAATTTGATATTGTTATTATTATTTTAATTTTAAAAGAAAATTTATGTAAATACAACTGATCATCCTTTGTAAATTTATATTTTTTTAATCTTGTGATTTATTTTGCTATTAAAACAAAAAAGGAATTAAAAGTCTACTCTTATTTTCATTCAAAAACGGTTTTTCTTTTTTACCCTTGGTCGGTTATCACAATTGGTCTATTGACTGTCACAAAAAACTGATTTTTAATAATTTATTTCTATAATCATGAAAAATAATCCTGAAAAACAAGGACTGCATGAATGCTGCAGCAACAGTTATGTCCTTTTAACTGTTATGTCAACTAAATGGACGTATTTCTGTCAAACGGAACTAAGCGCCAATTTGAGTTCCTTTTGAGGAATTTAGAATGCCGGATAGCGCGTTCTGTCAAACGAAACTAAGCGCCATGGAAAAGCATTGCGAGTATAGGACGGAGCAAGCCCGACGCCCGCTTCCGCCGCCAATCCAAGCTCCCGCACTACCTTCCTCTTCCGATGGTGCTTAGTTCCGTTTCACAGAATTACGTCCAGATGATAATGAGTTCATATACTGTAAAAGGATGGATTCTTTTTTATTATTATTATTAATTTACACCGAAAATAGCAGGTAACAAAGTGATTTATTGTGTTATTAACTATTTACAAACTGAAATTGAAAAATCTAACAAATATTACTCACAGACTCGTATTGATACAAATAATGATGAGGGTTTATTTCTCTTGAAAATAGTATGAAGGTACAGAAGAAAGAATTGAATTGCAGCCTTGAAGACTGTTTTCAAAGCAACCTTCAGTGAATTATTCAAGACTAATAACTTTTCAACCACCATGATGAATGGAAGCACTGTGTAGAAAGTTCTTGTTCACAAGAAACAATGAAGTACGGTAACATTTAATTTTGCCTACTTAAATATGGGGAGCTATCACAAGAACAGACCATACAATGGTGTGGAAAGAGAGTAATTTCCTCTATTATGAACAAGAAGCAGACAAACAGTAAATGTTTTCATTTTTAATGCAGCCCTAACCAGCAAATCTGTAGTCCATAAAAAGACAAATCAATTGTCCGTTTCACAGAGAAGAATATGTTACTTTTGTAGACTCATTTTTACCCACATTGGGCTTGTTTTTTGGATGATTACAAGAGTTGAATTAACGTTATGAATATAATAAATGATCACTGATACATTATACGAAACAAAACTCACAGTGTCAATAATATGAATGAAAGATCTACCAAGCAATGTAAGAATGCTTTAGTCGTATTTTTTTATATTACAATGATTGCATGACTGCATCTTTGATTCACTTTCGATGATGGTGATTCACACAATTGCGTTGGTTGCGCTGCGTACATCACTAATAAATCAACATAAAAGAAACACGGTGTTTTTCGAGGAGCAATACCTCTGTTCATACGGGCTGAATTTTACAGAGAGAAACCGTGTCACATTGAGTTGTAACAAGCAAAAATAAGTTAAGAGTTTCCTTCTTCTACAATGCTCAGTGTACAAATTTTAGAATACTGGAAATTATTAGCTGGCTTTGATTTTTTGGTAGGAAACTGCAGTATACTCAGTGGCGTAGCTATCATACCTGTCGCCACCGCTGGGCGGGGGGCGCAGCGATGCAAGGGGCGCAAAATTTTGGGTGAAGAAAACGGGAAAAAGAGGGAGAAAAATTAAATTTTTAACTTAACTTATGTGCTTTTTTCAGTTTTTGAGGAAAAACAATTTCTTTTAAACAGATTAAACTGAAATTTCACATTTTTTTATTTGAACCAAAACCAGTTTTTTAAATTGTTCGTCTTTTTCCGCATCCAACGAGTGGTCGTATAAGCTGGGGAACTGAACGGTTCCGGAGTTATGATCGATTGAAGTTTCCGCTCAACGCGCGCCGACCGATTTTTGCGCGCAAAAGAGTCGGATTTGACTGTTATTAAATCAGATTTAATGTTCAAACTGAGCAAAATGCATTATTAGGGATTCTTGAAGGTCGCTGAGTCCAGAAATTACAGATACTTCCAAAAAATTCACGTTTTTAAAAAGATGTATGCTGTAAAGTTTGACCACATATTCATACAAATTTTGCCTCAAGGAATTATTTAATATTTTGTTTTATTTTAGGTGCTGGGGACTGTCTCTTAGATTTAACTTCTCCTGACGGAAACTGGTTCCTCAATGATATGTGCTGGACTACAAGCTCAGCAGTCAAATTAATATCCTACTTCCCGCCACTAAAGTCTGAAAGTTCTACCGAAGCTGATTTTCAGTTACAATAAACGGGTGCGGTCCTTTCTTTGCTGGACATTTGAGGGTGTCCAACGCACGGTGCCCCTGAACTGACTTTAAATGCGACTTTGTTGTACATCAAAAATTGAGGTTGGAGGTTGTAGTGGGGTACTCCCTGATGGGTTTTTGGGCAATTTCGAAATAGGTTGTCGGAGCTCCTGGAAAAATAATCGCATTTTTGTGGTTTTTTAGGGGTAAAATAGGAAAATTGGCCTCGGGGCGACAAATTAAACCCCTTCTCCCTCATCCTTGCCCTGACCGATCTGAATTTTTAGTATGTTTTCACCTAGTATAAGATGTGACTTTCCTGAAATTTTCATGCCCATACACAATTTTCTGCCCCCGCGGCAGCGTTGCCAAGTTGCGAACTCCAAAATATCGAATTTAATGATAAAATGAAGGTTTCGGAGTGTGATTTCCATTCAAAATCAAAAATTCACATTGTACGTTGTAGCAGGGTACTGCCTAATGGGGTTTTGGCCAATTTCGAAGTAGAGTGTTTGAGATTTTTGAAAAATAATCGAATTTTTGCGGTTTTTTTAAGGGTAAAATAGCACACTGAGCACGAGGCGGCAAGTTAAACCTTTTCTCTCTCATCCTTGCCGTGACCGATCTGAACTTTTAGTATGTATTAACCTGGTATAAGATGTGACTTTTCTGAAATTTTCATGCCCATACAAAATTTTTTGCCCCCCGCGGCAGCGTTGCCAAGTTGCGGACTCAAAAATATCGAATTTGATGATAAAATGAAGGTTTCGAGGTGTGATTTCCTCCAAAATTTCACGAAAAATGTGCAATCTGAGAGTTTTCGATAAGAAAAGGCATATTTGAACAATTTAGAGTTGCAGTGTTGCCAGCTTTCGATTTAAAATTCGTCAAAATGACCCAAATCGCGTTGCAACCTCAAGCGCTGGATTTTTATTTCGTTCAGAATTGGTTATTACGGTTCTTCTGTACTCTATGCATTTAGGTACCATGAAAATTATGCCATTACTTACTTGATGGGTGCAGCTAACTCAAAAAGAGAGGCCGGATAAAGCGATGAGTCGGGGGAAAACGAGCGGTTCGGGTTGACAGAAAGTTCTTAAATCTACTCCATCACCAGAAAGTAGAATTTGAGAACTTTCTCCCATCCCCCAAACCTTATTCCTGTTGCAGTCAATCCGTTGAACATCTTATCTGAAATTTTGCCCCCGAATTTTTCCCAAAAACACAAAAAAAAAATAAACTAGATGTCAAACATGTCTTATACAACCAAAAATTTACACAGCATTTTTAATTTCGTCATCCAGTTTATTTTTTTTTCTTTCTGAGGGAGTTTATTTTCAACATTACTCAAATTTATTGTGATCTTTTGTAATTTTTTTATTCTTTAAATTGTCGAAGGTATTTTCTTTACAGTAAGAAGTCTTCTGGATTCGAACTATCCAATCCGCAGTATGAGAGGAGGTCGAATTCAGGGACTTCATAGCGTTATTTGAATCGTTGTTATCCACCAACTTTATTTGTGTTTTTATTTTTCATGTTTTTGGGAAAAATTCGGGGGCAAAATTTCAGATAAGATGTTCAACGGATTGACTGCAACAGGAATAAGGTTTGGGGGATGGGAGAAAGTTCTCAAATTCTACTTTCTGGTGATGGAGTAGATTTAAGAACTTTCTGTAAACCCGAACCGCTCGTTTTCCCCCGACTCATAGCTTTATCCGGCCTCTCTTTTCGAGTTAGCTGCACCCATCAAGTAAGTAATGGCATAATTTTCACGGTACCTAAATGCATGGAGTACAGAAGAACCGTAATAACCAATTCTGAGCGAAATAAAAATCCAGCGCTTGAGGTTGCAACGCGATTTGGGTCATTTTGACGAATTTTAAATCGAAAGCTAGCAACACTGCAACTCTAAATTGTTCAAATATGCCTTTTCTTATAGAAAACTCTCAGATTGCACATTTTTCGTGAAATTTTGGAAGAAATCACACCTCGAAACCTTCATTTTATCATCAAATTCGATATTTTTGAGTCCGCAACTTGGCAACGCTGCCGCGGGGGGCAAAAAATTTTGTATGGGCATGAAAATTTCAGAAAAGTCACATCTTATACCAGGTTAATACATACTAAAAGTTCAGATCGGTCACGGCAAGGATGAGAGAGAAAAGGTTTAACTTGCCGCCTCGTGCTCAGTGTGCTATTTTACCCTTAAAAAAACCGCAAAAATTCGATTATTTTTCAAAAATCTCAAACACTCTACTTCGAAATTGGCCAAAACCCCATTAGGCAGTACCCTGCTACAACGTACAATGTGAATTTTTGATTTTGAATGGAAATCACACTCCGAAACCTTCATTTTATCATTAAATTCGATATTTTGGAGTTCGCAACTTGGCAACGCTGCCGCGGGGGCAGAAAATTGTGTATGGGCATGAAAATTTCAGGAAAGTCACATCTTATACTAGGTGAAAACATACTAAAAATTCAGATCGGTCAGGGCAAGGATGAGGGAGAAGGGGTTTAATTTGTCGCCCCGAGGCCAATTTTCCTATTTTACCCCTAAAAAACCACAAAAATGCGATTATTTTTCCAGGAGCTCCGACAACCTATTTCGAAATTGCCCAAAAACCCATCAGGGAGTACCCCACTACAACCTCCAACCTCAATTTTTGATGTACAACAAAGTCGCATTTAAAGTCAGTTCAGGGGCACCGTGAACGGATGTTATGTACACTGTGTTATGTAAATTGTACACCTTATTCTTTGTTTATATTTATCTGTAAATTTATCTTTCTTTTATTGTCTGTTTATATTTATCTTTATATTTATCTTTCTTTTATTGTCTGTTTATATATATCTTTATTGCAATTTCTAACTACTGAATTTATCAACTTTTATCATTATAATAAAATGAAAATCAGAGTTTTTATATTTATTTCTTTATTTTTATTTATGTTGGTTATCAATATTTTAGGTTTGGTTCCTAATATTTTCTCTTGATTTTCCTTGATTTTACCTTGATTTTACCTTGATTTTCTCCCATTTATTCAGATCTGAATGACTAGACGGGCAGGAGGAGGGGGGAGGGTGCGCCACTCAAAACTCATGATATGAAAGGGCGCAGTCTCACATCGGCGGGGGCGCGCGAAGATTTCTAGTTACGCCACTGAGTATACTAGTAAGTTGAGCTTAAAATCAAAGAGAAGTCATTTTCCTTGAAAATGCAACTTAGTTCCTTTCAGTTAAACTTAGTCAAAGTAAGTAGAAACTTGGCGTTTGGATGGATCTTGTTGCATTGGGCTGATCTTAAAGTTCCAACCAACATAACAAGATACTATGACTAGCGCAATACAAGCATAAGATTGACCAGGAATGGAGTGACACAGAGCAATAAATTGTATTTCTCCCCACAAATGGGGAGTCATAAAGGACAGCGTATTTGTACATACAGAAAATTACCTTCAGTAACTAATGTGTTCACTTTCCTTATGTTTATATAGCCTTATAATGAAGGAAAATCTGCATCAATGCTCTTATAATAAGAACCATATTTAAGAAGCCTACAAAGTCCAAGAGAAAAAGTTCTCCAACATTTTAGGAAGATGACATTTAGATACTACGGTTAAGAAAAGTTGTGAAAATTATCAGCGGCCTGGCGCACATAAAAATTTCAAATGATAATGCTGCTAAATTGACTAATTCAATTAATTTATCTGATGCAGTAGGCAGTCTCAACCTATGAAGGCAAAATTAAACTGTATTCTGCCTCAGAGGCACTGAAGGGAGGAACATTGAATAAAAAACTATTTTGTTGGAACTTCGCAATGGTTTATGAAAACTTAATTTGACAAAACTTTGGAAAGTTAACTACTTCTTTTAAAAAATGTATTAAACAGAGAATCTTTCTGCCTCTTTTATTTTTGCTGGTGGATGGATAGTCTCGATTTTCAGCCTTTGTGGGTTCACTTGAGATCAGGCCTCGTGAATTTCAGAATTTGATACCATTATAAGACCGGAGCATCAGAAAGGAAAATGAATACTTCTTATAGGGCTAAGATTATAAAAAGTGAGATAAATGGTCCCATTGAGAGGAAAATTCACTTTTTCTTGAAAAAGCTGGTTAGAGATACCTGTTTAGTTGGTTGTTTGATAACTTTTTTTGGTTCTGGCGACTTCTCAGGCTTTGGAGCTTCTTTTGTTTCACTATTTGCGATAGTCTTTTTATTCTCGTCATTTTCTTCATTGTCACTACAACTTTCGTAGACATATTCTTTAGTGGTGCCTGAAACAGAGAAGAAGATAGAGAGATATGTTTACATATTTTTTACATAAATAAAAAAATAAGCTACATGAAACGTAATTACAAAAAATGTTTTTTAGATTAATTTGCAATGATGCAAACAACTTGCCGAATTTTGCAAGGAAAGCAACACACAGTTTTGATGCAAAAAATGGAAAGAAAATAGAATGATGACAAGGATAGTCTAAAACATGTCAATCAAGATATTAGTTTTTCTGGTTGAACCATTGATGTCATACACTAACTAAAGTCTATGAGGTTTTAATGTATGCTATGTATCTAATCTAATGTATCTTTTTTGGGTTTGAGCCGAGTTCAAGTATTTTGTCACTGTTTCAATCCGAATTCAAGTGTTTTCGAGCTTTGAAAATGACCCTCCAGCAAAGTCGAGCTTGAGGCGAGTTCCAATAATTTTGAGTTTTAACGAGTGATTTTACAATAAAAAATGATGGCAAAACTAAAAATAATAATAGAATGATTGAAATATTTATAAGTTGGACTCTTTTGGTGTTTCCAGCTCAGAAAAGTTCAAAAACCTTGTGTTATTGGCACTTGAGCCGAGTTCGAGTACTCGCTTGAACCTAACCTGACTTCCCAGTCGAGCCAAGTATCGAGTGCTTGGCGCAACTTGACTCGAAATTTGAGTACTCGTGCAGCCTTACCAAAAACCACTCCGAGATTGAACTTTCTATGTGCCAAGTGAGTTTTTCAGCATTTTAAAACCCAATATCCTGTTCAAATGTGGCAATATCTGATTTATGATCGAGGTGAGCTTTTGTTCCCCTGCTGACCAGAAAGACAAGACAGTCAAAAAGAATCAAAGTCCTCCAAATGATAATATCATTTTGCGCAGAGTCCACACACACATTCATAACAACAGTCCCACAACTCCATTAGAAAACGCATGTAAGAAGGCCAAAAAGTTCACTTTTCAACCCCGCTTTTCTAAACATGGACACCTGTATGTGTGTATTAATTCTCATGATCATTCACACCGTTTTTAAACTGACATTTTGATCGGGAAATTGTCTTAAAATTTCGGATTGCAGCCCTTAAATGATTGAATCAGTGAGAACGAAAACACACCAACTCGGAAAAATGAGAGTAATCAAGACACACACAAAACTGCACAGTAGATGAAGAAATTAGTCTAAGAAAAAGATTTCTGGTGCCGAAAGACAAGCACTTAAGGACATTTTAAAGGTCCATGTTGGAAAAGATGCGCTAACTTCAATGACCTCCATAAAAATTGACTGTTTTTGATGAAAATTGAGTGTTTTTGAATTATGGAATTAGCGTTTTTTCGTTCTCACTGATTCAATTGTTCCACATGATGCAGGAGAGAAACCGAAATTCGAACCATTACTTGTATTGTGGTATAACAGTGCTTCGACAGAGGAAACTCAAAAATTTACGCGCAGTTCATAAGATGGAAAAATTTGACTCCTAAAATTATACGAAGAATAAAAAGAAGCCCTGATTGGTAAAACTCCCTAATTGAAACTCATCTAAATTAAGTACATACATAAAAATCCATTTTCATCCATAACAGTTTTGTCGACAGCTTTGCGTTTCCGCTTCTTTGAGGGTTCGACGGGTGTTGCAGGTATTATTTCATCGTCTTCTTCCATGGGTTCCGGTGACGGAGGCTTTTCAGGTTCAGGGGAGAGACTTCTCTCAGACTCTGCATCACTGTCTCCTGCATTGCATGAACATACAGATAAAACTGTGATTAAAAGGCTTTAACTAACATCCTGAGACAAGTTTATGAGTGAATATTTCAATTTAGCCAATCTATCACCAATAATAATAGTATTCTCTAAAATATTCGGTTTAATTTTAGGTGTATAGCTATTGCGATCTTGTTAGTGAGAAAAATATTTCCCTGCCGTCTATTGAGGAAAATAGCGAAACCATTCTTCACTATTTTCTGCGTGATTTCCATGTTCCGTTAAGAAGTAATGTGTAAAAAAAAACAGCAGAGATTACCCCAGTTTTCCTTGAAAACCAATGCAAAAATAAAAATAATTTTAGAGGTGACAAATTCTTCTTGAAACACGGTAATACTAGATTAGTAACTGAAAACACAAACCTTCACTACTGTTTTCTGAATCACTTTCAACCATGACTCGTTTTCTCCTTTTCTGAGGAGGTTCTGATGGTTTTCCTTTTTTGCCTTTCTGTGATTGAACCTTTTTCTTGCTGACTGGAGGCTTTTTATTGATGCTTGCCTAGAAAAACAAAGGAAATTTCAAACAAAATTTCGAGGAAAAAAGTTGATTCTTACGTTTGTGGCTATCCAATTAATTACGGCGGAAGCCCAAGATGGAAACCAAGGAACTTTGGGTAGTCGAAAACACATAAAAACACGTAGAAGAAAACGAAAAAAAACTTCAAGGCGATTAAAAAACAAAATATGTTGCGCCGGAAAAGCAATATGTGGATGATGAAGATATTACCATATTGATTAAAAAGTGATGCTTGATGATGTTGACCACTTCAACGAAAAGTGGTACGATTTTTTTCAAATTTTAATAGATTTAACGGTTTTAAGCCAATTCATTTTAGTTTTCTGACATTTTTCTTCCCTCTGTCTGGTGAACCTACTTGTTACAGAGACTTGCTGTTGACAGAAAAATATTGCCATCTTAGAAGATTCTGCTATGAGCAAGTGCCACTTTACTTGAATGCTACCTGCTCTTCATAGAGTGATCTAACTACTGTGACATTTCAAAAAAGTTAAAAACTGCTCTGCACAAAGCAGGAAGGAACATAACTTGCGGGTGAAGGTTCAACACCAAGTCCTCAGTGGGCTAAAAGCATAAAGTTAAAATGCATTAGAACCTAAACTACAGCCGCAGCTTTTACAAATTAAAATGAAACCAAAGAAGCACAAGTTTCAGATTTTTAGTCTTGGATTAAAAATGTGGATACCAATGCTAGAAATCCTATTTACAATCCTATTTTCCAAGTTGTTCAGTTAAAATTAGAAAAGAAAAGGTTTGAACACTCACGTTTTTGGATGATTGACTACTTCCTTCTTTTCCATTGACTTTTGGTGCAGTCTCTTGAGATTTTTTAGACTGACTACTTCCTTCTTTTCCATTGACTTTCAATGCAGACTCTTGAGATTTTGTAGACTGACTACCTTTCTCATTATCGGAGCTAGAGAATAATTCTTGTGATTCGCAATTTAATTTGGAGTTATCAGTGGATGTGCAACTACTGGAGACACTTGATTGGGACTCAGTCTTTTTGTCAGCCATTTTCTTTGCCTGTCCTGCGAAGAGTGACGATATGCTTTGGCTGCCAGATTTTTTTGCTGGTTCCGGTTTAGCCTGACAGAGGGAAAACTATTATTGGTGCATACTTTGCAAGAAGAAAAAGAGACAGGTAAATTTATGAAGAATAACATTCTTTCGCACTTCACAACAAATCGTGTTACAACTAGTTTGCACGTTACTTATCAGTGACTCATGACAAACATGACAGATTGTGCTTTCTTCTTTCCAATCTCAAATGGTGCCATTAAGAGAATAATTGATAAGCTGGAAATTTTGCAAGGAGACTTCGTAACGCAAATATATCCAGATTGGTAGCTCTGAACAGTAACTTCTCATAAGAACAGGTGCAGATTGTTCTAGGCCTCCACAATTTTCTGTAATGCGCTGGGTTTTGGCAACAGAATCAACACATCAAAATTCCGTTACATTTTAGGATAAGTGCCAAAATTCCACAAGAGTGGAAAATCTGAAAACTTTCAAAGAAGAAAAAAAGGGAAAAAACTCTTATCCTCCACAATTTTTAGGGCCCTTCCTTAATTTGGTCACGACCAAACGGTCAAAAACTATTTTTGCCCTTGCTTGTAAAGATCTAACGCAAAAGTACCAATTTTTTAGGGGTCATGGTTGGCTACAACTCTTTGTTTTTGACAGCTAGAGTTCGATTGATGGGAGAATTTGGCAAATAAGGCCCATGAATGTTTGAATACTTCTTTAGCAGAGCTCAAATAGCGATAAGTTCTGCACACTTTCCTTAGTGAGTTAAAAGATCGTCTTGTTAGTTAAGCGATGTTTACAAGCTACACGGAAAATAAGAGACTGATTTTCCATGAGTTTCACAAACTGGGAAGTTTTTGGTGGAGAACTATACAAAAGTTCAGGTGCAGCAACAATATAGGGCCACTAAACTTTGCAAAATTAAAGGAAAGGCAAAGAACAATGCGAAATGATATGGATAACTTTCAAACAAATTAGTACATACTTGAGAAATGCGACACACATTAAGAAATTTGTGAACCCTCTCACCTTTGACTTAGGAGCGGTATCTTTCTTAGATTGCTGAGCTGCAAACATAGCAGCAATACCTCCAGACTTATTCCCAGTACTTTTATCTTTTGCTGATGTTTCTTTCTTTGGACTAGGACTGGTTTTGGACTAGGGGAAAAAAATAAAAATATTAGTTAAGAAGCATAAAAGGAGGACAAGAAATTATTTTACATCTATGTTTTTTAAAACTAAATATTAGTATTAATTAGAAAAAAGAATTGAAGAAAAATTTCTCACATGACAGCATTTGAATGATTTTGTAACTCCTTCCTTAAATTCTTTTACGCAACTACTATAAAATGATACATGATTGAAACCAAGAAATAATTTCAAAGTTGTAATAGTTTAGAATATGATATTAATTGGTATGGATTTTTCATCTATTTTTTTAAAAAAAATTAGCATAGGTAGCAGTAGATAAGAGGTCATCAAACAGAGCATGGAAACTGATTATTGAACTATTATCTTGAGCAGCAATTCTGGGCTGTAAAAAAATGAGACGACAAAAATGAAAGGATCCTGCAGTTAGTTTTTAAAACCGAACTATTAACCGCGCCAATTTAAAGAAAGGAGGGGCTGAGAACTGATTTTTCACAATTTTAACACATATTATCTGGTAAAAAATGTAGTAACATTAGATTGCAGTCCAAGGAGAGCTTCTCTTTCCTCATCTTCCTGAAGGATAAGATAGACCATAGGAATCAAATTTTTCCAAACAAAGATAGCATGCAGGGCAGTGTCACCATACAAACAGCGTGCGTACCTGCAGCGTACCACAGCAAATGAAATGAGAAAACGAAAGTAAGAATGCAGAAAATTTCACTTTTAACCCCATGTTACTTGACATGAACACAAATAAAGTTTAATTTCGGAGGCTCATCCTGCTCAGGAGGTTGTGAAGAACATCATCATATTGAATAATGACAAAATTAAGCTGGTACTGGATTTCTTGGTATTTCTTGCAAGGTTCTTTGGGTAATAAGAGTATGTGAAGCCATGAAAACACAACATAAAATCATGTTTTCCATTATATCATTCTTAACGCACAGATGTGAAAAAAGGAAACTGACTACTTCGTTTCAATATGCATTGTTGAATTCATGTGATTTCAATGGTGTAGATGTTTCGAGTGGGACTCATTATTTGAATAAAAATGTGGTTTGATTTAACAGGGGTGCAGAAAATGCTCAATCTGTGAGAAAGCCTCCAAAATGTGGAAGGAGGGAAAATTTTGAAAGTCAACAAAAAACAGAAAAAAGGGCATCTTTTTTTAGAGAGGTGGGAAATTTTGTGGAAAGCCCACAGCCGAGCGCGAGAAAATGTGGAAGCTTGGAAGATCCTGCTTCCCTGTAATTTAGAGGGACGTGCAATTTTTCTCCCCTTTTTTTAAGATTATTGAGAGAAAAATTTGCTATTAGTTGTATTCTCTTTGCAGTTTTCTTAACAACTCTTAAAATACCACTGGTGAGAAATTTTATAATTTAAGGAGTCATAAAGCTTATAATAAATTGTGGACACTTTGGATGGAAGCTACCAGTTCTATCTGAGTGTGGCAACACAAGCCTTAACCTCCGTGATGTTGATGTAACTACTACAATTAATACAATACCTTGGGTGTAGCCTTAGGCAGTGTCTTGGGAGGGATTTTGGACGGCTGAGCTGGTTTCTGGGGTGAAGGTGCTTTTTTGGGCGGAACTTTTGGCTCTTGTTTAGCAATTGTTGAGGTTGTTGCAGTGGTCGCGTTACGTGCGGCAATGTCATCCCTTTTCGGATCCTTCCAATATGGAATGCCGACAACACTGAAAAAAATTTTAAAATCAGTTTTAGGCATTTGAAAGATTCTTAAACTTTCGATTAGACTAAATTTGTAAATGAGACACTGCAAGAGTTGTTCATAAGGTAAGGTTTTTAAAAATCTTAATGCTAAAAAGGCAACACCAAAAAAGTCTTTGATTAATCTGGATGATTTGGGGATTATTGCTAACAAGCTTTAGCTGACCCTCCAGTCAAAACATGTCAAACACCTTGTCACTAAGTCCGGTTTCCAAATAGCCTTGCTACAATGTCGTTACAACTTTGAGACAATGATTTGGCACTTGGTTTGTCAGTAGAGGACACTCTTTATCCAAAGATCTGATACTCGGTGTGCATGACTTGTGCTCTGAAATTAATTCTGGATTTCATATTTATGAACAGCTTAGGTACCTAAAATTTTGGGTGATTAGGTACAAGATCATTCCTGAATTTCTCTTTTCTTTTTCAATGAATTTTAACTCAAAATGCCTCTGAAATTAAATTTGAGTGAGAGACAATTAACATTTAAATTTTCAAGATTATGACTTACTTTCATTTCTCGGTCCTGGTTGTTAAGTTGGTGAAGTTCAGACTATGATCATTTCGGACTTGTCAGTCCATTATCAGGTCGAAATACAATAATAGTTACAAATTTTGATTTTCTTTCAACTGCTTTTGTCTAATCAAGTTCAGTAAGAGTTTGTATCTTCATAGTGAAGATTGTAAGTAACGTTTCTAAATGCAGTTTTAAACACTCATCTTTGATTCACTGCTTTCACGAGACGTACAGTCTAAAAATAGTTATCGGGGTTAAAATTGTAAAGGCAATTGTAAAAGTGGCTCACCTATTTTCGTTTTCATCGGTTGGAGTTACATTATTTGCAATAAGCAAAGTATTAAGATCACACAGTTGTCCTTTCTTCTGCAAGCTGTATAACTGTTCCCAAGATACTTCTTTGAACTGAGATTTCACAGAGTCTAGATCTTCATCTTGAGCGATTATCACAGAGAATCCTCCATCATTTTTCAACTCTCCCCCAACAGCATAAACGGAAGAGAGATCAGACTTATGCTTGCTGGTTGAAGCATACTTAGCAAGTAACCTATCAGTGACAGAGATAAAATTATTTAGATCAAATGAAAACACTCAGAAAGTAAACAGGAATCACATTATTACAGTCAATGCAGCTTACAATTAGTTAGAATGTTCCATTACTTTCAAAATCTTTACAAGAATGTCAAGATAAATATAAACCTGACAGATATCCGATTAAAATTTGTTTGTAGAGGTGATAATCCTTGTTCACTGATGTAATAAACTTGTCCAGTTAGATGTTGAGGTAGGAGTACCGTTGAGTATGGTTGTATTGTATTGTATTGTGAAGGATCAGAGATTTCGCTCAACTTAAACAGTCCAGTTATTATTTTGAAAGAAAAAATTCAAACAATTTCTAATTTTTGGAAATGAAAATCATAATGCGGATTTCCAATTTTTGAAGATAAGAGCTTGAGAAAAACTTGCGCACATGTTAGCTCTAGGAAAAAAGGAGCGGAATTTTTGAAGATTTCTCTTCTGTACAAGAAAAAATTGGGTTATCTTATTAAGGGCCATGATTGTTTGAGTAGCCTAGAAATAACCCTAAATAATATTAGGACAATCTCTTGGTGCAGACCACTTCCACTAGGTATTCTAGCCAAGTTACACAACAAGAGGGAAACTCCTAATCTGTATATGATTTGCAGGATTAATTAGAATAATAGGCAAATGGACTTACCTTTTTGCATCATTCATTGATATATTCAGAGAGCGGCTTAGATATTTATAGGTCACCTGAAACATCAAATTAGAATTGTTTCAAATCGGCACATAGTTAGATAACAGCAAAAATTCAGTGTACATTATATGCATTTGTAACCTTCATAAGGTTTCCTTTCCCTACTTTTTCGTAAGCCCTTAATGAATGGGGCGGAAAGTCAAGGATTCTTGCAGGGAGTATGGCTGGTAACTTTATAGGGAATGGAGAGGCATTGATGACAAGAAACTGCAATTTGTCAGATCTTGGAGTCTCTTGTATCACAGGTAGCAAGTGGAAATTCTCTTGAGATTGGTTTTTTTTTCAACCATCAACTTTTACGAGAGGGTTATGTAAGTATACTTCAGGGAAATAGTACAGAAAAGAAAAGGGAGACAAAATGTAGGCAATTCTGTTGAGTTGGCCTTTCCTGGGAAGACCGAAACTTCTGATAGTGAGAAGGTGTATCGCGTGTATCGCAAACAAACAATTATGTATCGAAAACGGGACCCGGCGCCGCACAGGAATCTCGGAATTTGGGACCTGGAAAATGCTTAAAAGTGGTGCCAGCTCTCCCACATATATTACGACTCTTTGTACTCAATGGTGTAGACCCCATGAATGCCTTTGCTAAAGGGCACATACGTGCTGAATAAAAGGAACTCATTTTTTATGATATCCGTCACTCCATATGGCATTTCTCCAGAGGTGCAGAAAATGCTCGTTTATAACCCTAGGCAGAATTTTGGCATTATAATGTAGATGTAGATTGTTGATGATAAAGATGAAATGAAAAAAGAAGAGACCTACTGCAACTTCGAAAATCAGTGGGATTTTATTTGGAAAGCTGGCAGACAGGCAAAACTGTGGTAGTTTACGGGATTCTGCACTCTTTCGTCTCTAGGCTTTCACTGGCTAGGCTGCTGGTGTTTGATAGTACAAATGTCATCTGCTCCTTTAGTTATTCACCCTGATAGCACCTTATTTGTAAAATCAGATTGAGCATCCATGACTGTATCACTCGCGGTGATCCCAAACATACAGATACATATGTGCTGTGCGGACCTTTCCCATACCGGCATGGACCGCATACAAACCAAAAACTTATGGGGAAAAAGCTTCCCTATCTTAGACAGTCCGTACACCTGACGTCACGGAATGATGAAGCAGCCAATAGCAGCGTGGAGAGCGTCAGAGACAGAGGCTTTGCACACTGAGGACCTGCGAACACTGATCACTCCTCACTAAACAATGCCTTATCTATGAGGCATACGCAGAGTTTGAGCCAAATTGAGTAGATATCATGTTATGAATCTGAGTAGAGATCCAGAGATTGACATGAGAACCTGATGCAATTCTCTGGAAAAAAAATACTATAAAAAGGGTGGAAGCAAATTAAACTTACGATTTTGTCATGATCCATGAGATATTCTTCTATGTTTTCAAGACACATTTGCTCTTCTGTTTCGTTCATTTTGCCCGTCGACTTGAACAATTTCAAAGGTAGGATGATGAATTTCGCACTGAAGAGCGTAAGAGTTACTGAGAGACGACTGAAATCATTTGAAAATTGAAGAAAGTAAATCCAATTGTAAATTTCAGTACATAATACCATAGACTTTCAGACACAACAACAAGACAAAAAACTCACATAACCTATTAAAATTTTGGGGGGAACTCTGCATGGAAGATTAAAAAATATAGGTCTCTGTTCAAAGTAGTTCATGATGACGTTCGCTCCTAAGTTAGAAGTTAGGTTAGTTCAATACGCACGAATGTAACTAAAATTGCATAAGCTTAAGTTTTTTGATGATGGAGAGATGGCATCGAGGACAAAACAATCTCAAGGACGTAGGCTCTACGCTCTACTCTTACGAGTCCTCTATGCAACTTCATAACAACGTCAGAATTTTTGAGGAGTGAAAGATTCCATCTTTTGACTTGGGTTATATTTTTATGAAAATCGTTTTATCTCACGCGCCGCGAAGTGATTGACAACTAATGTGATAAAATTTATCTTTTTGTTTAAATATCAACACAATTCAGTGCATGACATTTCGTTCAAAGGTGCAAGTGTCGTGACATCAGGAACTGTGCAGCCCGCAGTCCTCTAACACATGAAGTTGTCACTGCTCAGTATCGTTAATTTCTACAAAATGACATAATATTACTGTTTCGTCCATTATATTTTTCCTCTTCTATGTGTTCAAGTTTATTTGGCTTGTACCCAGTTGATTTTTTTCTTCTAACCTCAGCCTTACGAAGTGTGTTTACCTCTGCGTGAATATGTGAATGCAAGTCCTGCGACAAAGGAGGTATCATTAGCAAGTAATTACTCATCTCTATCAAATCAGAAACCATTTTTTTAGCTACTATAAGTATCCACCAGAAATCCGATCGAAAAGAACTGCATCATTAGCTTGGAATATGTTGCTGGTTGTTACAACTGTTTCAATAGGTGTCATCAAAAGCATTTTAACAGATTCACCCTCAGCTTTTGCCTGGTCAACTGTTGTATGAGCTAAAATTACTCCTATGTCTGTGAGTTGTTCACCAATATATTCTAGTAAATACATATGATTTAAGTGGTGAACATTCAAACAACTTTAATGAAAGATACATGCAGATTGCCACCATGAATGACGACGAAGAACCTCACTCAAGCCAATCTAATTCACACTGCTCCTCGAGTGGTGTCGAAAATATCTCCTCCCTCAACAACATCACAAATGGTTTTAATGGAAATCAGAATAACCTAACTGGTCTCTACAGCAGTCCTGGTAGTAGCTCGTGTATTGATTCATCATTGCACAATGACTGTGGTAAGCATTGCACTGGAGCAAAACCAAAACCTAAGCATCTTACTTGCAATATTCCGAATGGAACAGCAGGCGGAGAGTGCTCTCGCAAAGTGAATAACATTGCCAACGGAGATAGTCATTATAGAATTAACAGCGATGAGGCGAATCTGAGTGCTTTTGATTCATATGTCAGGAACAATGTAGACTCACAACAAACTGTTGATAAATGCCCCCCCAAAGTTGGCAATTGTGTGGATGATGACAGTTCCAGTGGAAACGAGGATGAGTATTGCATCTACACCTACAAAGAGCCCCAAGACCGAATGGCTGATCTGCCAAGTTCTTTCTATCAATTAAACGTGGGGCCACCAAGGGAAGAAGTTGACCGGAATTCTTCTCCAGACATGGATTATTTAGAAATGGACTTTGATCCTGGACCATCATATGGACTTGATTCGGAGGAAAACTCAGAATGCTCAGAGGTGCAGCCAGCAAACGATCAAAACATGTCGAATTCGGACATTCCGTTGTTGTTTAAAAATTTACTTAAGTCTGATAATCAAACAAATAATTTAAGCACATTACAAGACTGTGGTAGGTTCGACCTAGATAAGCCATCCTGTTCAAGAGACCATATGTGCAGGCCAGAGGGTTTAAATGTCAATAAAATGAACAATGACTCATCCAAGTCGGAACGGAATCCGAACCTACCAGAAACAGTGCCGAGAAATGAAATGTGCCAGAGCTCTACTTCGACAGAAGTTAGCCAGAGGGTTGAAGAAGTGCGAGATACCAAAGGAAGTAACTCAGTTTCACCTTCATTGAGTGCTGACGCGTTACCCTGTTCTAGTAGTTCTAGTAGTTTAAGTTATCGATTAAGCAAGCACAGTGCCGATTTATACTCACCTGGTGAATCGTGGAGTGACAGTATCGGAGAGCTGTCACCTGACAGCCATCAACTGAATCTGAACTCTGCGCTCTACCATTGTGTCATGGCAAAACGGCTCATTCTTGATAAGCAGTCATCTTTCGTTGAACCAGACCTCTCCAACTTGGTAAATAAAAAATAGACATTTTCCTTCACTCAGAATATTTGTTAAGATTTTGCTGTTTCCTGATAAATGGATTGTTGATATCATCAAAATTTAGACTCTTTTTACTATGCAGCAATTGCAAATTTTCAATAATTTTCTGAATCAAACAAAAAAACCTTAATTATTCTAGATCAGAAATATTAAGAGTATCATCACCGTGGTCATGGTAACACCTATGCTTTTAATATGATAATCTAATTCTATTTTAATTTAAGAAAGTCTCAGCGCAATAGCTTTGTAGTAATCAACCTTTCCTCGCTAGAGCTTAATGTCTGCAGAAAAAAATCGCTCTCAGTTTCGACATCTAGGTAAAAGTGATTTCTTACATGAGCATTAATATTTTAAAAACATAAATATGTATAACTGAGAATTTTTAATTGGAACAAATCCTGGCGCTGAAAATAAATGATTGTTCGTAAGTAAGCTTTGCTTCTCCGTTGAGAGATATGCCATTGGTTACTGAAACAGTAATCATTTTTGAGGACCGTTGATGACAGAGTTTTCAACCACATTACAAGTTTAAATGTTTAGAAACTGATTCATTGCAACTCTTTGTGCCAGAGTCCTAGCTTATCTCCCATGGAGAGTGTGTCAGACCAGCCATTGCTACTTTTTCGATTTTTTTCATCCAATCTTTACTTGAACATGCCTCTTCTTTTCCCTCCAGAATGAAAATGGCTCAGAAAGCCCTGACAATGCAGCCCCAGCCATCGAGCAAACAATGATCTGGGCTGAGCAAGAAGCAGCACGAAAACAGACGTCGCAACTTGGAGTCTCAGCCTGTGGCGCAACCGCAGTCATCAATGCCATGGTTTGTATAATATTTGTCGGTAGTACTTTGTTAAAAAAAAAAAAAATAATTCTAGGTATATTCACCAAGTAAGGAAAGGAACATTTAAGGAGCTCATCAAAAAATGAATAACTATAAATGTTAGTGGACATTAGCGTGCAGTGGTGCAGTTGAGAAGATTGACATGAAAGTAACCAAAGATCAATTAAATACACTATCAAAGCATAAGTTTACTAAGTTACTAGTTGGTTCGGTTCATTCTGGTCTCTAGAATGAATGTGAAGCTACGTTGTATAACAAGTGTTTTAAACCCTGAACACAGCAATTGTAAACTTCAAATTGTTTTCCCTAAAAATGTGTTAAGCAGTAAATTTCAAACTTCAGTTTGGTTGAACATTTTGAATAGTTTTGAATGCCAAAATCTTCATTGAACTTCCCTCTAAGCACTAGTAAATTAAAAAATTAAATTTAATTTTTTACAAGACTAATCCACCCAGGTCAGTCACTTCGCATCTTTTTAAAACCAATGCCCCCACCCAACCATTATTCAACTTCAGTTAGGATCACGCATGATTGGCTTCCCCATTAAAAAATGCGTTGCATTTAAACTTCCTGCTGCCAGTGCACAGCAGCCTGATTGTTGAAATTTTTTGTTTGTCGGGACGACATAGATGACATAGGTTAAAAGGCGGAGCGTGATTGGTCGGCTATGTCTTATCGCTGCTTTGTCATGCCTTTGTCAGGTGGAATGGACGACATACTGTCGGAAACTTAAGAGGTGCCATTAGCTTGTCGTGAGTTCAACCCGACATAGGTACGACAAAGCAGCGATAAGACATAGCTGACCAATCTTGCTCCGCCTTTTAACCTGTGTCATCTATGTTGTCCCAACAAACAAAAAATTTCAACAATCAGGCTGCAGTAAGGTCTTAATACTCCTCTGCGGAAATGACTGACCTGTGTAGATCAGTCTTGATTTTCTGGCAGTAGGGTTCTTCTCACGTAGATGATCAAATATTTTTATTACACTCTAATTGGTGCTGAACCTCATGTCTATTCACTTTTTAATTCTCAGGTGGCGTTAGGTGTGCATGTGTTGGTAGACAAGGTCAAAGCAGGTGTCAACACTCGATTTCGTGCAGACTGCTCTCCACTTCCAGAATACTTATTCTCTCGCTCGGTCGCAGGCGCTTCCCATTTTGATCTTATCAGAGGTCTTCATCATGCTTCGAACAACCTTATTTATGCCAAATTTTTCCACATGTATCCAAAAAGAAATATCTGCCTGTCTTCATGGCTGGCCAGTTGGATCAAAAAAGGTGAGTTTTTGGTTTTGGTTCCGCAAGTATCCATAATTTTAGATTTATCAAGGCTGTGATCCTTTGCAGTAATCACACACTTAATGTCAGGGACGTCTTGCTTATTCAGAACATGGGAAGTTTCCTCAAACTCTCATTTCAATCATTGAACTAACCATCATCATGAGGTAAATGCACATCATTAGGTACTTAAAATCAAACACTTCTCACACTACATTAACAGTTAATTGGGTGTAATACTGATTCCGTTAGCTCTCAAAATCAAGGAATAGAGGTTGATCCGAATTTTTTGAAAAGTCTTTAAGTTTCTATACAAACATTTTTGAGGCTATGGATTAACCGAGAAAATGCTCACTAAAAAAGTTCCAGATTGAAACATTTCAAAAGAAAGGGGCAGTCTGAAAGTTAAAAGTAGCAAGTCCAATAAAAAGTTGGGCCTTCCTACAGGGAGATTTTTTTATCCAAGGGGAGAGGCAAACCTCCTAAACCTCTTGGTCATATCTTTTTTATGAATTTAATTGAAGATCGGCTTACCAAATGATTTCTTTTCACTCCTTGTCTTGATAATAATTTCTTCCATCAACTGCGCCAGAGCCATTGTCAGATAAAATGCTGATTGTTTATTTTTGAAGGTTTTCTGCGGTTAACCGGTTCGTTTCATTGTGCCTGGCAGCGTCGCCAGTTTTAGTCTGTCTCTGGTTGCCATTTGACAGCAGCAGTGCAGCCATCTGCAACGGAAAAGTAAACAACTGCCAAATCAAATATATTAGATTGAAGTTCTAAAAGCAGCTGGTTTCTTCAATCCTATGGACTAATAATCCTTCTTGTCAAAGAATTACTCATTATAACATAGTGGAACAAAAATTGGAACAAGGACAAATATTGTAGAATCCTGGACTTTTGGTCTAATATGATGGAGAAAATTTGGAACAGTTAACCCCTGTGTGAAGTCCTTGCGTTCTCAGAGACCCGCCATTTCCATGTGATTGTTACAAGGATTTTACATGGTGCTCCAGGTCTCATCTTCCAACTCTTATTCAAGGTTGCATTTAAGAGCTACCCATCCCTTACAATTTCTTTCTAGTTACAGTCAGAAAATAATATTTACTTATGATCCTTTATTGCTCTTTTTTCATGTTGCAGGAGCTGTTCCAATCTTAACATTGAACCTGCAAGCTGGTGGGGCAGGTACAGAGGCTGACTGGTGGCACCATCAAATGGTGTACGGAGTTGGTTCCCGTGGAGTGTTCCTTACAAATCCTCTGTCATGCAGGAGCGAAGCGACTCTGCTGCCGCAATTGTCCAGCCCATCAATCCTACTCATCCGCAGGAGCGATATCATCTCGCGCTGGAGTCCTGACACGGATCTGAGACCCCTGACCAGGCATCAGGATCCATTGTGGAAGAAACTGAACGTCTTGGGGCAGGTGGTAAACGTTCTGCGGCAGCATGCGAGGAACGAAAATCTGACAAAGCATATCTCAATTCCAGCCGTTTATCGATCGGGAGTCACGCTTGCAGCTCTTAGAGATTCGCCGGCAGGGCAGGAGCTTATGCATACACCTGAGGAGTTACCTCTTTTTGTGAAAGGTTTGTATCATTCAAGGATTTTCTAAATGACACTAAATGAGATAAGATGATGTTGACATCCAAAACCTAAGAATTATGTGAAATCTAGATAAGAAAGCCGAACTTGCATGAAGATTGTCCGACAAATAATGCCAACATGTTTTTCAAAGATCAAAAAGTCAGGAAATATCATATCCTTGCAGAATCATGGTTATGAACCAGTTTTGAAAATATACTGAAGATTCTTAAGTCAGGACTGAAACCATGAACTGGTATTTTTTTGCAGGATTCTCAGCCATCTAGTACATTAGGGCGATTCAAAAAAAAATTTCATCTCAAATTTTGGTTCCCAGTAGAAATTCTGGAACATGCATGACAAGACGAGAGCCAACAAATTTTTTTTTGAACCACCCTGCTAGTACACTTCCCTGCCTTCTTATTTATGATAGGTTCTTGTGGCTCAGCCAGGATAATATAGAACAATGTAGTTCCTCCTCGTTCTTTTAACCTACAGGAACCATCCTAGTATTCGTAGTTGTCACAAAATCAACAGATGTAGCATAAAACAGCATTTTTGCTGGCTTTGACATCCTCAGTCATTCATTTGCTGTGTGTATAGAGCTCATCGAGGATAGTTTTTGAAAGTGTCAAATTTTATGCGTTCCTTTCATTAATTATCCTACTTTTTTCTATGATTTTTGGAGATATAATTTAATGTTTTAAGCACATCTTAGTGTCATTTTTTTCTTCATATTATTTTTTATTATTATTTAATGTGTGTATTCAAAGAAAATATCATTAAATAAACTCACTAATTAGGTTTCCTGTGGAGAAAGATGAATGAGGCACCTCGTGTGTAATTAGAAGTAAAGTAGAGGACGGAGGGAGAGAGATTCGGGGTTGCTGATAACAGGATGCGCAGCAAAGTACGAGACTTAGGTAGTTGGTGATTCCTCAGATCTGACTAATCGTTGAAGAGGCGAAGGAACATCAATGCCTGCATCATTTAATGTAGAGGATGATCAGGGTGCTCCATCAAAAGTTGATAAACATTGAGATGTTTAATGATCAACCCCTCAATGGAATTTTTCATCGTGATGCTCTTGACTTTCTTCTTACTATGAACCTGTAAAACAGTTTTTGATTTTGTGAAGAGCCATACTGAAGCAAAATTATTTTCAATGCACAATCCAGCCGATGATCCCTCTCGTAAGGTTCATTCAAAAGCAAATTCAAGGTTATCAATAGGTCTTCAATTTTGAAGAGGAAGATACGAGTTTGTTGAGAAGAAGAAAATATTTAACACTTTCTTCGTTTCGATTGTAATACTTTCTTGCTCGATCAACTCCCAATTGCAAGTAGACTGACACTTTGACTCACTGTCTTGTAATAATGCACTAGTTAGAGAAACTTATTTTGGAGCCCTTTAATGATGGGTGTTGAATAAATTCAAGTAGACAAGGATATTAATGTGAGTAATTTTGTTTTTTTTTCTATTCTAGCATCATCACCTGTTCAGAACAGAGGAGAAAATGATAAGGAAAAATCAAAAAATGAAAGTAAATCACCCGCTGAACCCTTTAGCTCAAATAATAAACCACTTTCATCAAGTTAGCAACTGTCTATGTTCAGTGATACTCATTAAAGGTAACAGTCATTAATTTTTTCATTTCCTTTTAATTAAGACTAAATATTTTGACTACAAGCCTAATTGATCATTTTTTCACCAAGAATACCTGGGTGAATTCAAATAAGGGTCAAATTCCAGGTTCTATTTCCTCCCAAAATTTTTTTCTGAATTTTTGGGCAAACCAAACTTTATTTTGACTATCATTAGATGTAGAATTAGGAAATATAGCTCGTCGAGCTTAATAGTTGGGCTTAAACCCGAATTTCCACCGTCAAGTGTATCACTTCCCAAAATTTGCCGTAATTTTGCCTGATTTCCTAAATTTTCATCTCAGAGGTGACATATAATACTTTTAATTAAAAATTGAACACAATTGTCATAAAAGCATCGTCGAGCACTAAATTAAAGCATAATTGAAAACATGTAACCCTTTCATATCTTGCAGAACCAAAAAAATTAAGAAAAAATTCATCCGTCATGAAAGATATCTGGAGCTTATTCTGCTTGTCTTTTAGACAGTTCCGTCTGTTTATCAAAATGCGCACTGTTTTCGTTTCACACGAGAAGAAGCTTTTATTTCTTGGAATATTGCAATACAAAATGGATCAAAAACACCGAATTTTAAAACTTCGAGTGGGCGTGTACCCGCTGAAGTGGTGATAAAGCCAGGAAAAGTTTGAGGACTTACATTAACATAACAATTACACCGGTCAACTTTTTTTTTTTTATTTTTGATTTTCTGAAGATTTACCAATGGTTTCGGAGTAGATTTTTGGCGCTGATTCTGAAGAACAACTCCATTTACCTGTATCAATGCGATTTATCCTGGGAAAGTTCGGAATTTTTCCGGAGAAATCGGAATTTTCCTTAAAAATCTAGCTTTTCCAGAAGAGTCAATTTTCCGGGAGAATCTATGCACAATGGACAAAACACAGGAATTTTTCGATTTCCTAGCCTAAGATACATAGGAAACCCTATTGCTCCCCTATTAAAATTTCCTTTCTTTTCCTTATACCAAGGTTTTCCGGTCCAGTTTCATTAAAATCAATTAATTAGTCACCGAGCCACGTTTTAAGCCACGGCCACCATCTTAGATTTTCGAATCTCGGATATTTGACTAAAATTCGAGTTTCATATTCAAAAATACCCGCGGGTACCAAGTTTCGCGTAAATCGATTGATTAGGCTCTGAGATAGCATTTTAGGCCATGTCCGCCATCTTGGATTTTCGAATTTTGAAAATTTGACTAAAAATTCAAGTTCCCCATTGAAAAGTACCCCCGGGTACCAAGTTTCACTTTAATCGACTGATTAGGTGCTGAGATAGCATTTTAGGCCACGTCCGCCATCTTGGATTTTCGAATTTTGAAAATTCGACTAAAAATTCGAGTTTCCCATTCAAAAATACCCCCGGGTACCAAGTTTTGCGTTAATCGATTGATTAGGCGCTGAGATAGCATTTTAGGCCATGTCCGCCATCTTGGATTTTCGAATTTTCAAAATTTGACCGAAAATTCGAGTTCCCCATTGAAATATACCTCCGTGTACCAAGTTCCACTTAAATCGGTCGAAAAGAGAGCCTACAGGGCTTAAACAAACAAGTCCCAGTTGATTAGGCGCTGCGATAGCATTTAAGGTCATGTCCGCCATCTTGGATTTTCGAATTTTCAAAATTCGACTAAAAATTCGAGTTCCCCATTGAAAAATACCCCCGGGTACCAAGTTTCACTTAAATCGGTAGAAAAGAGCGCCTACAGGGCTTAAACAAGCAAGTCTCAGTTGTAACAGTTTTCCACTCTGTCCCACTAAACTGGGACAGCATGGGACAGGATGGAAACATATGGGACAGGATGGAACGGGACAAGATGGAACGGGACAGGATGGAATAAGCTGTTTTTTAAGCTTATCTCTAACAGTAAAGACAATTTTGGTGTTTTTTTTCACGGAATATTTAGTAGCACGTCCTAGAGGATCGGAATTAGAGAAAATTTTCCCTAACGCACACTTCGAAAGTATTTTACGAGCTGATATTAGTGTGTGTGTGTATGCTTGACGCCCTGTTAGTTATCATGTATAGCATTCTGTTTGGCATCATTAATGGCGTTAATCTTGCACAAAAATTTGCGAATTTCAGAATTTTTGCCATCTACGACGTGTGAACTATTCAATCAAAACAAAAAAAGTCGCTTTTGGAAAAACCTCAACGTTACGGCAATCATTTAGAGTTTATTACATCGTTGCCATGTCTCTCCTGACTGTTACTGACTGTTGCTCGGGACAATGATTCTAGCGCGTGAAAAAGTTATTGATGGAGCAAAAAATAAATTGACATATTTTTTTTCTCAAAGTCAAAAGCATTACCTATCATCTCCGATAAAGTTTTCTTAAATAATCACTCTAGTTATGCTGCAACATCGATTTAAAGTCAAGAACCAGGGGCACGGGGGACACGCAAATTTGGGACAAATGTAGGCAATTTGCACATTCAAAGTTCTCCTAAATTTTTATTTCAGTCCAAATAAAGTGGGAAATAGCATGTAATAGTCAACAATAGTGTGGAAAATGAGAAAAAAATTTGATCTGCCCATGTTTCTCAGATTATGACGATTAAAACGGCTCGGGACACCAAATTAGACGCTTATTTGAACTCACCCACCTAGTCTCTGGAAGATTCTCTTGTATGAAGAGAGAGCTTAAAGTAAGCATCTCACATGGTTATGTTGAGCAGAGAGTATAAGTCTTTATAGATTGTGAGGAAGGTTGCGCATCTGCCATAAAAATTCTCAAGACAGAATTTGGAATGGGTCAGTTGTTCTAGTCTCAGAATCGCGTTTTGATGATTCGAGCCTATATAGTAGCAAAAAATAATAAAATTTGTCTAAGAGTTTTGTTTCTTTGTCCAATATCAACAGTGATATGCCCTTTTAAAAACACAATGTCTAACAGCATATTCTGCAGTAGTTCATATTATGATTTCTCCCACCTTGGATTCATCAACTGAACTGCGTTAAGCACCAAGGAACCAAGCCACATCAGCTATTGCCAAATTTAACTCTGCAATTCAACTTTTTACAAGAGAACGTTTGTGCGGACTCCTTTGAAAACTTTAAGGAATTTGCTTCGTACCATGCAGAAACTAAACTGAAATTTGCACTAAAATCCGCACAATCGTTTTCATGTATAACATTAAACTGTCCAATTTTTGGCAATAGCTGATGTGGCTTGGTTCCGTTCAGATAAATGCGGTCCAACTAGTGATACATCAATTTGCATTAGTTTCTCAACATGAAACACGGATCGAACCAAGGGGGAAGCAACCACTGTATGAACCACCAGGGTGGATGATGTCAACCGTCTGTTCTATGGAGGGCAATGAATCTTTACTATTGGGCCTGGTATTTGGACTGAGCTTGTTGCTTGCTGCTCTATAATTTGAAATCATCAAAATGCAATTCGATGACTAGCGCAACTGGCTCATCGAAATGGGAAGAGTCAAAAGAGTTACCGCTTAGCTAAACGCTTCAATCCTATTAGTTTGGACAGTCCGGTCATGTTTGATCGGAGGGACGGTGCAGCACTGATGTCAGAAAAAGATTGACTCATGACTGTTTGCAACTGTTCTTTTGCATCATTTGTTTCTGCCTGGATGATTGTTGAATTGGAGGATTCCATTGATGCTAGACAAGAGTTGCCTCCTCTGTCCCTGGAGGATAGATCATCCTCTGCTGTTTCTACGCAGGAGGTCTGGCCACTCACATCATCTGTTAACGGGGGCTTGGCGTCATCTAATTCACATGTGTAAATTAAAATTAACTCAGTAAATTTTTAAAAACAAATTTTATTCTAAAATGTGTGTAAGTAATGTCTGTAGAGCATTTTTTTAAAATTTCCTTTTTGAAGAGTAAATCTTCAGCTTCTTGGATAGAAGGTGTTTGCTTGCAGGAATTGCACCTGGACCTGAAGACTGTTGTGCGCTGATTGCCATCTACAGCATTCACAGATTGTCTACACATCTAGCAATCGTGAATTTTAGGGGCTCTTATCAGATCAGGGATAGTTAGGGCATTTTATGAGAAAGACTGGGAAATTAAAAAGTCTTAAAATTTGAAAGAACATCAGCGCTGTCCACAGAATCAAACTTAGCCTTAGTCTGGTTTGAAGCTCAAATCTCTGAATTACACTCTGAATTGTGAATAGACGAGTATCAGCAAGGAATTGCAATTTCAGTTCACTCATCTCATTTTATGAATCAAATTCATTCCTTTCAAATTGTAATAGTCTGTTTCTATTCGATTTTGAGCAAAATATGTAACAGTAAGCATGGGAATTCAGGTTCCGTTCTTCGAAAAGCATGGTAAATGTCATTTTTTTTAATATAACCACATCTATTGGACCTTATAATATCAGACGAAAATAGGGATTCTGACAAGTCCTACAACTTTTCACATTTACAAGATTCACCCTCCGAGCTACAATTTTGTGACATACATAACAGTTACTGAGTTGATCTTTTCCTTTTTGTTTCAGGTGATTCAGTTCTCTTCCTGAGCATCTCTCTGTCATCACAGAATAAAGATGAAGAATTCTCCAAAGGTGCGATTCTTGTAAAATTGTAAATTTAAGGTGCAAAGTATTGTTAAGTCCTCAAAATGGAGATGCTTATTCTTCTAGAAGCCATATCCGCAGATTGGATTCAAACCCTGTTCTTGCTGAAGAAGGGTTAGAATGTCAAAAATCTGCTCTTATTTTTTTATTAGCTTGTTCAGTTGATCAAGGAGACCTTTGAAGTCATCCTATTGAACTGTTCTGTTTTCTTTTCTCAATATGCTCATTTAGTTAGACCCATTTTCAAGGTCAATTTATTTTTTCAATTTTAAAAGAAATGTGTACATGAAAGACATAGGAACTTCCATCCTAGCTGTATTGAACATGAAGAGCATTTTAAATAAATTTTGATTCTTTTTTTTTTCAAATCTTTGAAGTTAAAACATTTTCAAAAACAAAACCGAATCATCTAAACTGTCGACCAATTCATTAATGCTAGTCAACTGCGGTTCATAAGATCTTGATGGATCTAGAGCATGGCAAAATTAGGCTTTGTTGATCATGGTCGTATACAAATTGATGGTAAGACTGTTGAGATTCATATCTTGGTAGGCCAGCTAACCGAAAATGGTTGCAGAATTCCTGTCATTCTTTATCTTCTAAATAGAAAACTGTGCAACATCATATTCTAAAAACTTAGGTTATTTTTTTTTTCTCTGTGTGAAGAATATTCTGGGGAAAGTTCAAGCCTTGTTAGTTTGATCTCCCTTGAAAAAATGAAAAAGAACTAGAGATTTTGGAACACAGTAATCGATTTAGCATCTTTACAGTTTTACTGTCTCAATGATATAGTTTCAATGATCAACCTCCAGTTTATTATCAGTTCTCATAGGAGAAGTTTAAGTCACTACACTTCAATGCCTAACTTGTGGCGGGTGGGGATATTTTCAAACTGACAGAGGTTAACCTCTAGTCTTATTGAGACATGACTGTGTGAGAAACCTATTGTCTATTTTCAAATCTTTCATCTCCCTACGTCTCAATTTAAGGTTAATCTTCAGCTGTAGTTCCGAAAAAATCCACCACGTCGCGCTGCTAAAATCCGACTCCGAAATCAGTGATTATTTAAATATCACAATAGGTATCTTAAATTCTAAGACTCATAAGTTCTAGCAGCATACGTCTGGAATCCTTAGAAACAAACGCGAGCTTTGAAAGTCTAATAATAAAAGCTGTAAATTGATCCCAGTTTCTCTTACGGGATATCTGTAAGTGCGAGAGAGACAGCTCACGGTGGGAGAGAGATATCTGCCAACTGCTGAGAGCGATCAAGCACGATTGGTTGCATCAAGATCATCATGCTTAACCCTACTTTTTTCTGGGATCAAATTGCAGAGCTTCAGAAATGACTTTTCACGTTGTTTTTATAGTCAATAGGAAGAAGAATGTTATGGCTAGAACTTATAACTCTTCGATTTAAACAGAAATTCCTTCAACTTTTATAAAAGCTCAAGGACTCACGTGGAGCTGTACGGACTCTAAAACACAGCGGTGGCGCCCCCTGCGCGGAGAAATTTCTTACTTCACGCAGCTGTAGATAAACCTTAAATTTGAGGTATCACACATATCTTATTAACAAATGATTTGTTGTTGTTGATCAACCTGACTTCGTTGGGAAAATTCAACATGTTTGAAGAGGAATTGAGCAAATATTCACAGTTCCAAAACGGAAAGAAAAAACCGGTTTTAGGCCTGCAGATTAGAGGGATAAGAGGATTGGTCGGCGTGAGTTCAACAGAAAGGAACCAACCCACATAAAGTTGAAACTGAGAAAAAGAGGTTTGGAGTTTTATTTCTCCTTAAGGCTCAATGTAATAAATAAATTTTAACCCCTCCTAACACAGACTAATTTTTTTTTTCTCGACTTTGAGTTTTTGGCAGGGGAATATGTACGACTAGTGGAACTCAAAAACATTAGGTAACTCGATTTTTCCGAAAATGTGGGTTGGTTCCTTTCTGAACTCGTCCAATCAAGGCTAAATTCCTTGAAATTAAGGGTGGTCACTCTAAAATAAGTAAAATCTCCAACTGTGACATGGACTGCCACGAAGTTCTCGGGAATTCAGCTTCCATTGAAATAATTACTAGGTGTAGAAAGAACACCTCTTAAATTGCCTCTTATGATCATTGTTGGGTTTCGATCGATCTGAATGGGCCTGGAGGTGAACTTTGACCACCCTAAATTTCCCGGTCAAGTATCAGTGCAAAAAATTAAAAAAACAAGATTTCGAATAGAGAGAAAAGCAGCCACTTTTATTTTTTAAAACATCCATATACTAAGTAAAATTTTTCAAACTTTTTTAGTGAAGAATGGGTCAGGAAGAAGAAATAACATGTTTTCTTTCAGAGCCTTACATTTAATGGGTGGATGTGAATTTGCAGAGATCGAGCCCCAAAACCAATCAATTCGCAAAATGCAATGTCAGTTGAAACTTGGTTTAATTTGTACAATTTTTTCTTTTCTCAATTATTGCAGCTGATTTCGCCCATGATTTCAATTGGGCAATGTCAATTTAAGAAAACAGGCGCCAAAATCGTGAGATGTACAAAGAGAGTAGGCAAAAATAATTTTTTGTATTCAGGTCTCATTGAAAAATAAAAAAAATTCCTCTCAAATCGCTTTGAAATTTAAAATCAGTCAGAAAGTTATTCTGCGCACGAAAAAAAAAAAAAAAAAAAAAAAAAAAAAAAAAAAAAAAACCCTTCAGAAAAATATTTTGTCCTGTCAAGAGGTTATTTAACTTTCTTGCTGATTTTCCAAAAAGGAACATCAGGATTATCATGACAGCCAGTATCTGATATCTTTAATGAAAAAATAAAAACAATGCCTTGTGAGGAGAAATGTTTGAATATCGTTAGACGTTAGAATTTGATTTTATCTCAAAGTTACTTCTTCCTGACAATATATCACTAAAATTTTGATAAGATGAGGTGGACTCCAGGGAGGGCCTTTCTTCCCTGCCTTTAAATCTGCGAAGAGGTGATAAAATTCACTCTTCGCTGAAATTCGCTCAGTCCATGTCACGGCTAGGCTGCTTATTGAGCTGGAATGAAGTTTGCAGTTTGTGGAGCAGGAATAATAGAAGTACCTTGAGGCAACTCACTGTCTACTTCCGTGAGCCAAGGATCATTTTTGATACCTGCTAGTCGTATTCGTTGCTTGACCGGTGCCAGAATTTGGAGTATTAAGGTGCGGCATCTTGTTGAAATTTTCGGTTCTTTGGGAAATGTTACTTTACTTTGAACTTGCTGAAACATCAAAAATGAGAATTTCAACAGCAATTCAAAATTAGTAATCAAAAATAATCCTTTAGTTTCCTTGAGTCAACTATATTTTCTCTGGAAGGACGACATAACTTTGAAAAAGTCAGTTGAGCCAATAGCAGAATCAAATTTTGGTGGCTGAATCTTATAGTTAAACAACAAATAACAGATCTGTTGGACAATCGAATTTCTAATTCCAAAATTAACAAACATCCGCTGGAAACTGATGACATCATCTGCCATTTTTCTAAAAACGATATCTATCCTTATCAGTATTGAACGAGGAAACTCGGTCCTCAGAATATTTGTTTCTCCAAAAATTGTCCTTAAAAACTTGTCTGTGCGAAGGAGTTAAGTAGCCAAAACAAAAAAGCTCTAATAAATAATACAAAATATAAGGCTTTGTCCACACAAGCACGGTTCGCGGAAGTTATTTCGAGGAACTTGTTCCCGGAACAAGTTTTAGCTGAGCTGAAAACTTATTCCTCCTAAACCCGGGATTTCCCCTGTACTCCGAGCTTCTACATATGTTTCTTTTGATGTGAATTTGTTTGTTTTTGTTTTTTACGTCCTTTCCATGTCTTGACATTTATTTTTGTTACTTTGGCGGCCGTAATAATCTATTATTTTGCAATAATTGTATAGTTTTATTGAAGTTCCGGTTCCAGTTTGGGCAAACTCGTGTGGACAGCATCCCTCCTTTCAAGGAACAAGTTCCGGGAACTGAGCAGTTCGTCGAATAAGTTCCTCGAACCACGCTCGTGTGGACAGGGCCTAATTGGTTAACTCACGCCCTCAAACCATCTTTTTTTAAATTTTTTTTTTTTTTTTTTTAGTTTAATTATAACTTATCACTCATACAAACATAAAGAATATGCTCTATTGTATCACTTACTTTTAGTAACTGGCTGTAGTTTGAATCATCGAATGGTAACCGCCCATAGACCGTTGCATAAAGCACAACACCCATTGACCAAATATCTGATAGCTGAGGCTGATAGGGAATGCCACGCAATATTTCAGGTGAGGCGTATGCATAGCTTCCACAGAATGTCTCACTCATTATTGGAATTCCACTTTTTGGCTTCATACTCCCTCTAGCAAAGCCAAAGTCTGAGAGCTTTATATTGTAGTCTCTGTCCATCAACAGATTTTCACACTTAATGTCCCTGAAAATTAAAAACAAATTTGATATGATTTTTGAGTGATGATGGTAAACAATTTTCTCCTTAAACCTGAATCTTTTGACCCCTCTGGAATAATACAATGTTCCCAATGGGAATAGTTTTAATGTAAGAATTGATTATTGAGATCACAAGGTGTCATGGTTTACAAATTCTCATTTGATCAAAAATCTCTTTGAAGATCCAGCTCTGACGTTGACGGACTGTTTGAAAAATTCATTCTCTGCCTTAGTAATTTGATTCAGTTGTAATGAAAGAAATAATAATAGGTACTCAAGTGTTTTAACAAGCGCACATCTGTAGGAAAATTAACGGAAGAATTTCTGTGGAAGCATCGATTATATGAAAAGAGGAAATCAATATGTATATGGGTTGTCAAGCAGTAATTATTGCAGTCACAAGGTTCTATTCCCTAATTTTAGTTTATAGCCTGTACAATTACATTACGATTTAACTGATCTATTCGTCAAAATAGCCCGCCTGCTATACCTGTGAACTACTCCTTTTTCATGACAGTACTCAACAGCATCAACAAGTTGGCGGAACCATAATTTCCCACGAGGCTCATCAATATAACAGTCTCGTCTTATGATGTCCAGCAAACTTCCCTTCTCTGCGTATTCCATGATGATGTAAACCCTGTAAATACAAAAAAATTGATCCCGTGTCAGAGGTTCTGTGCTTTGATCAACAGTGAGCAGTCTTAAAGTAATATAGGAATTTAAAAAAAAAAGAACACGAGAACTCAAACTCAGCAAAAACTCAAAAATGTGTAAGTCTCACTTTAACACTTTAGTACTTTATTTCAGTTTCATGGACGCCAATTTCGAAAAGCTCCTTTCAGGATAACCAGAATAGTTCACCTCCATTTAATTTTATTTTATTTTCTAAAATAGAAAAAGTCTCAAATGGTCTGAGAGGTTGATCATGGTTGATCCCTGATTAATGATGGTATTGATGAAGTTTACCAACCTATGTGTGGTTTCAATCGCCTGCAGGAATCTAATCAAGTGTTGATGTTTTAGGCCTTTCACCACTTCAATTTCACGAGGTAAAAATTTTTTTAAGTAATCCGGAGGTGCTTGAAATTTGGACACAATTTTAACGGCAACATGAGTTTTGTGCCGTTCGGAATTTGCAACCTAGAAAAAATTTAATCACGATAATTGAGCAGTCGAGTCAGTAATTCTGTACCACGAATGTAAAGGTAACAAAAATATTTAAGCTTTGATTCGAGCCAAAATAAAATAATTAATGGTTTAATCTTTCAGAACCAAATAGCTGCAACAACGCACTCAACGCAGTGTCCAGGGCCGGATTTAGGGGGTGGCCACATGGGCCGCGGCCCATGGCGGCAAAATTAAAGTCGGATTCAGAAAAAAAAATTACCAACGAGGAAAGGCGACGAAATCTCTCATTTCCTAATTTTGTCGTCTTTCGGGGATACAAGAGACGGCTCCTTTAATTAGTCGAGTTAAGAGAGAAACCAAACACGCAATTTGGCCTGGAACAGCGCGGCGCAGAGAGCAATGATGACGAGGACTTGAGATGAAAAGGAGAAGCCCTCGGCGCGGCGGTCAACATGTAACACATATTAGCGCCTACGAGACAGCATGAATACCTCACGCATTGCGTCAGACATAGCAGCAGCGACGGCAGCGGTCGACGCGAAACGCATAGCGCCTACAAGACTGCATGAATACTCCATGCATTGCGCCAAATATAGTGCGCTCAGCGCGGCGCGGCGGCGGAAGTTAAAATTATTAAACCACATTTATGTTTGTTCTTTCATAATTTTTTCGTTCAGTATTCATAAGTAGAAGGTCTTGTCCACACAGAGATAGGTTTACGAAACTTAACTTTCGCGCAAAGTTCCGTGAAATTTTACTAGTGGTTTTGGCAGGGCTTTCGCAAAAAATGTGTCCAACACGAGTAAACGTGTCTGATGCATTCCTCCCCCTCCGGCACGTTTACTTGATGGTTTTTATTGATGTTCCAAAACGAATGAGAAGGGGGCGACAAAATACAGGCGGCCCATGGGCGGCAAGTAGGTGAATCCGGCCCTGGCAGTGTTCTCAACCAGGTAAATAGGTTCCTGCAAAGTCAATCAATGCGGGTTGCGTACCAACTATTTGAAGGCACTTCATAACTTCAACGGATTCATCTGGGAACTAATGAACGAAATGAATACCTCATTATGACGAAGAGAGCTGGTTTCAGGAGGAAAAGGAAAGGGAGGGGTAAAAAATTGTAAAAAAAAAAAACCTTCTCATGAAAAAATTACAAGCTAGGATCGCAAAGAACTCCTTCAAGAACACATAACTTCTGAAATTGTGTTCTCTCCTCCCAGCAGTAAAATATGTGCATTTAATAAATGGTAAGTTTTGAAAATAAAAATAATACCAAATAAGCAAATAATCCACGTGTAATAAGTTTTTTTGAAAGCACATTATGCGGATTGTGAGTGAACGACAATGGCTGAAAACTGAAAACACGCATCTCAAAATTTGACTTGGCGAATTTCCTCTCGTAAGTATACCTACTCATTTTTAAGAGGACAACAATAAATTCATTATTATCACATACAGAATTTTCTCTCATCACTTATTATTTTTTTTTTAATCTTATCACAATTATTCCGTAAAAATCTGCAGCCGTAGGTAATATCTGTTAGTTTTAATTTATTTATAAGAAAAAGAAGAATAATAGATAAAATTTAAAAATAAAGGGATGTGGAAATAAAGAACCGAGATTTTGATACGTTGTAATTGAATTACAAGTTTTGAGAATGAAGCCAAGCAATCGTTTTAAAATGCTGCTTACTTACTTTAACGGTGGCATAAGAGCCGGTGCCGATGGTCTTGCCGAGGGAATAACCATGATTCTCGAGGACAGTGGCCTTGCGCTCAACGACGTCGGTTTTGGGGGCGCCGGCGGGTTTCTCGTCTTGCCCCGGGGGCGGCGGCGGCCCCTGCACTAACAGCACGCTCTTCTTCTTCGTCAGACTCACTCCCGGAACCCCAACCCCATCTTTTTTCAGATTCATCGCAAATTTAGGACATTTTTGACACGGAAAATTTAGCCCCTCGTGCTCGAAAATGTTTCCATGGTACCCCCGAGTGCCAGACCCACTCCGATGGCGGGAAATCTCTCGCGGCGTTGCCACATCCTCTTATTACGGCGAATCCATTGAAAAAGTTCTGTGCATCGATATCATTTCGATACATGACCGTGATTGAGGGACTTCGAGGACAAGGCGCATAAATGCAGTTTTTGCTACTTCGAGAAATACGTGTTTGAAGTTTCAAAATTACATGGATTCTTATGGCGGAGAGAAAGTTCAAACTGACTTTTTGATGCTTAAAAATTGGAATTTGGGATCGAATTTTTCACACAATATGCATCGAGGCCAGTTTTACTTGAAGTAATTGATACATCAATTTTTTCAAAAACTGCACTTAAGTATATGCATTGTCCTTCAAGCCCCTCAATTGATGGGCTTAGAGGACAAGGCGAGGACCAGTCCCTGATACTTCGAGAAATACGAGTTAATAGTTTCGAAATCGCACAGAGCCATACGGAGGAGAGAAATTTCAAACTCACTTTTTGATGCTTAAAAATTGGATTTTAGGGGTGAATTTTTCTCAGAAAATATTTTGAGACTAGTTTCAGTTATTCCAATTTTTTAATTTTTTCAAAAATTGCACCTATGCGCCTCCTCCACCCTGCCTCTCAATATGAATTTTACCATGATTTTACCCGAGTTATGTTCAAAAAATCAGATCGATGAGAGGTAGATTACGGATCTAAGTATGTCTGAAAAGTGTTTGATCAAATTTTGGAGTTGATTAACCTGGGTCTACTATACTGGGTGGCAAAAATTAACTATTTCTACAGTACTTTGACAGACAGTACCTTTCCAAAAAAATTCAGCAGCTCAAAAGCAGAAAAAAATCAAGCACTTTATTGGTATCTTCAGTCGATTGGTAATTGGAGTTCATTTTATTTAGTTATATTTCTTACCGCGCCTGGTTTCTTTTTAATTCTCCTAAAAAAATGAGTAATTTTGTAAATACAATCCTAGCTTGAGCGCACTTGAACTATGCGGTCAAACTGCAATAGCGGCAAAGAAAAATCCGACCAGGCTAGCGCCGTGGCGGCTGATTTGATATTAATCTTCCATCGCATTGCTAAGGCGCAAGGATACAACTATTCGTACTCTCCGGAATGAGTGAGGTATCACGCCACAATTGAAGGCGTTTTCGCAACTGCCAACTTTTCATATCGGGATTCTTGTGTCGCATAAAACTCGGAGAATGAGATAAAAGGAATGACTGACCTTACTACAGTGCAACAGTTATGCGCACATCTCCTTATTTTAATTGTTTCTTTATAGCTTTCGTTCCAATTCATGATGAGCGTGAAATTTGCTCGGATGTGTTTTCGCTCTATTAAGCTTTTTATCTACATTTTTTACCGCATTTTTTACACCAGTGCATTCCTGCATTTTAATGTTGATATGAGTTCCTACTATTTAGTAATATTTCTTACAGCTTCTTTTCTTCAATTCATCCATAAAAATGATTCATTTGGTAAATACAATCCTAGCTTGAGCGCACTTAAACTATGTGGTCAAACTGCAATAGCGGCAAAGGAAAATCCGACAAGGCTAGCGCCGTGGCGGTTGATTTGATATTAATCTTCCATCCCAATATGGAAAGTTGGCAGTTTCGAAAACGCCTTCAATTGCGGCTTGATACCTCACGCATTCCGGAGAGTGCGAATAGTTGTATCCTTGCGCCTTAGCAATGCGATGGAAGAAGGAAGGTTAATATCAACTTAACCGTCACGCTGGCCTTGTCGGTTTTCCTTTGCCGCTGTTGCAGTTTTGACTGATAGTCTATAAGTGCGCTCAAGCTAGGATTGTATTTACCAAATGAATCATTTTTATGGGAGAATTGAAGTAAAGAAGCGGTAAGAAATTTTACTAAATAGTCGGAACTCAAATCAACAATAAAATTCAGGAATGCACTGACAGTAGAAAATGTAGATAAAAAGCTTAATATAGAGCGAAAACACATCCGAGCAAATTTCACGCTCATCATGAATTGGAACGAAAGCTATAAAGAAAAAATTAAAATAAGGAGATGTGCGCATAACTGTTGCACTGTAGTAAGGTCAGTCATTCCTTTTATCTCATTCTCCGAGTTTTATGCGACACAAGAATCCCGATATGAAAAGTTGGCAGTTGAGAAAACGCCTTTAATTGTGGCGTGATACCTCACGCATTCCGGAGAGTACGAATAGTCGTATCCTTGCGCCTTAGCAATAATGCGATGCGGGATTCTTGCGTCGCATAAGATTCGTCGCATGAAATAAATGGAATGACTGATCTTACGAGCTAGTACGCCAGTAATGCGCACAAGTACTTGTTTTAATTTTTTGTTTATAGCTTTCGTTCCAGTTGATAATGAGCGAGAAATTTTCGCGGATATGTTTTCGTTCTATTTAAGCTTTTTATCCACATTTTTACTGCACTTTCTTTCATTTCATTGATGATTTGAATTCCTTCTATTGAGATATCGTATTTCTTACCGCTCGTTTATTTTTTATTCTTCCGTAAAAATGATCCATTTACTAAAAATCCCAGCTTGAGCACACTACTTAAACTATGCGGTCAAAACTGCAACAGCGGCAAAGGAAAACCGACAACGCCACCGTGAAGGCTAATTTGATATTCATATTCCACCGTATTGCTAAGGCGCGAGGATACAACTGCGTGAGGTATCACGCCACAATTGAAGGCGTTTTCAAAACTGCCGACTTTTCATATCGGGATTCTTGTTTCGCTTGAAGTGAGTCTACTAAAAATGGCTGACAAATATTAAGTAATTTTACGGTACTTTTTCAGTACCTCATAGGCAGAAAAATTCAGTACTCGAAAATAATTTCAGAATTCGAAAATTGTCGAACTTCACGCGCAAATCACGAGAAAAATGACGTAGCCAGGAAATTCGAAGGTCACTGGTGGCCTGAGGATCAACTGGCTTCACGATTTCGATCGAGGGGGAAAATACTGCACTACCTAAGAATAATTTTGTAACGGGTTGCGTAGTTTCAAGGCTGTTTTAAAAAACACCCGTGGCTTGGATCAATACTTCCGGAGCTTTACAGGGTACTTGTTCAGTACTCCAGAACCGCCCTCAAAAAATCAGCGTTATTTCCGGACCAGTAGACACCCTGTATCAACCCAAAAATAAAGTAAAAAGTGCGGCCGAAAATAGTTTATCAATCGGTTATGGTTACTTATCGGTCCATCAAATTATTGCGGCCGTGCTTTTGACTTCATTTTTTAGCGCTGTTAACCAGCACGTGGGTTGGGTTCTCTGTCCCTTCGATCAGTGCCAGTCACATTAGACCGGTTCACCTTTTATTTCCGGATAGGCACGATGAGCGTCCTAGAGGCAGTGATACTTGCTCGCAGGAGTTGGCTCTTGTTCACTCCGTCTAATCATAGCATTTGCGAATTGATACTGGGTCATTCCAGTGCAATGGCAGATCCAGAGGGAGTCGGAGGAAGGGCTATTTAGGTGATGTGTAAAGGGGGTCTAGGAGGGATACCCTACAGAGCGAGAAAGGTTTGGAAGGCCCTCCCAGATTGAATTTTAGGCAGTTTTAGCATACAATTTGGGCATTATTTAAAAGTTGAAAATTGACGTACAATACCTCTTTCAGAAAATTTAATTGTAGTATATGGAGTGGGTATTTATTTCTGCGGTTTTGAGTAACCTTTGTTTGAGTCAACATTGGTTTTATAGTTTTGTCTTGAAACCATCTCCGTAAATTTTTAAGAGCACTTCTCTTTCTCTCCCCCTTTTCCCTTCTCTTGTTTTTCCCTTTGTGGTTTGACTGAGGAAGGCACCATGGCAGCCCCCATCATCCCCCTGGATCCACCACTGGTTAACCCTACATGTCGAATTTAAGTCAATCAACAACATTCCCCAGCCCGCCGAAAGCTCATTTGACGCTTCTTAGAACATCTCTGAGATGAAGTCTTGAGAACCTCTGAGTGTGGAATATAGGATCAACCACTTCCTCAGCGAGTCGAAAGCTCCTTTTATGCTAAAATCCTACTTTATCCGCAAGTACAAGAGAACCGCTGAGTGTGGAATTTTTTGTCTATTGAAGGCATTTCTCTGCCTGGAGAAAGTTCTCCAGTGTGCAATTTATGTCTATCAGCAGAAGTCCTTGGCTCTTATCCCAGGTGCCAGTCCTTAGAACCTCCTAGTGTGGAATTCATGTCGATCAATGGCATTTCTCAGCCCACCTAATAATACTCAGTAAAAGTTTCAACGCATTACATACATCTGCTTTGATCATATTTGATGGAGCACTAGCAGAAATTCTTAGCCACCGCAACTGAGAAGTGCCCCGTCTGCGCTCAGAGTCTCAATTTTGAACAATCCAGAACAAGCAGTACTCAATTTTTGGCTATTCAAGTACCCCCATATTTTAAAAATTACTCAGGGTCTTTTGTAAATTAAAATACGCACAATTCAGAGAGAGATATTGAAATAAACAGATTTCCAAAGAAAAAAATAATACAAAATCTTAATTTATTAAAGTCAAAATTTTCCAAAAATATGCTAAACTACGTACAAAAGTATTTAAAAGAAATAGTAAAAAAATTATCATAAATATAACAAGTTGTGATGAGAGGTTTCACAAGATCAGTCTATTTCATTTGAACTTAGTTTATCAAGAGTCAAACGGCAAAAAATTCTTGGAAATTAATGTGCAGCAGAAGTTCAGTTTCTGCTATTGGACTCGACAGCTGGTGAAAAGATTGATATGTGGTTGTCTAAACATCACCATGACTTAGAGAGATTAGCTTAGAAAAGTACCTGATTGAAAATTTGAATCTGAGTTCAGGAAAGAAGATGCTTCAAATCAAAATTTGGAATGGTAAAGAGAAAGAGAATCTTTCTGACAATGAGAAACGATGTGCACAAATAGACTGATTTAGTGACTACATCATTCGATACAATATCGAGTTTTTGGTTGAAACCAAAACAAACTGACATAACCTCATGTGCAAATTCTTCACGAGTTAATTGTGTTAATTTATTAAAATTTGTTCACTGACCAGTTACAAATCAAGTAAAGACTCATTAAATACGAGAACTTACGATTTAAAAAAAAATTTGGACACATATGACCACCATGGTGCAAAGGGCGCAAATCAGAAACAAGGTTCCATGTTTGTATACATTTGAACCAAGGGTTCGATATTATATCGAATGATGTAGCCACTAAATCAGTCTATAATAGGGAACAAATCGGAGGGAATTTTTCCTTTTTAACTACCTAACAGAGATACTAGTAATACATTAATTATTAAAAGAAATAGTTGAGGTTTACCTAGATTCTTTTTAGAAATGATAAAAGATAATGACAAAAAGAATATGAATAGATGAGACAACCGGTTTAAAAACAACTTATAGACTAGTCAGTAAAAAATTTATGAGGAAACACTTACGGCTAACATTAGGGCTACAGAAAACAGAGCAGTCATTAAAAACTAATGCTGCATTGATGGTAACCTAAAGAACGGTTGGCACAATTCACCAGTATTTTTCCAATTCAGATACCAAATCCTGAAACAGATGCAAAAAAATTTAGTAGGATGATGTAAAGGAAGAAAATCAAAGAATAGAGCTTTGATAGATAAATAGATAGAAGTCAGGCTGACAGATAATTTTTAGATTGAGTTTGAATGGATATAGTTGAGCAAAAAAGTCAAACCTGCATTGCAGTATTTCAACATCTCATCTCTTTATTTTGATTTTTGACAATAGAATTTTTTCATGAAACAAAGCTATTGCTGTTCGGAAAGGAATAGCGCCCAAGTACTATTTATCATCTTTTCACACAACAAATGTGTTTGGTTAATAAAGACATGTCTGTATTAACGTAATATGGCACATGTTCTATCAGTGCTAATATGGCACATGTTCTATCAGTGCTAATATGGCACATGTTCTATCAGTGCGTATTTTTGAACTGTAAAAGAAGGGGAAAAGACCGTAAATATTAGGCCTGATGTTTGCTCCTTTTACAAAAATTAACCGAGAGGAGGTGTTCACACCTTTCTTAAAAACCACAGTGAGTAAGCTACTTACCAGAGGATTCTTCGGAGACAAAAATCTTGCGACGGGTTTTCCTTCCTTGTCCACAATGAACTTGTTAAAATTCCATTTGATTGGGCTAAAATATGGTTAAAATTAACTTAGCATTAGTATACATTTGGAAGAAAAAACCAACTGAAAAACACGATTTTTATTATTTATTCTAACTCCTTTGCTTTTCATTGGAGTTACATCAAGTATCCATGTAATGAAAAAACAAATAACATTCAAGAATCGATGTTTTTAATGTTATATGGGAGAACTTAATTACTTGATATTGTTAAGGCACTCAAGAGCAAAATAGAGGCACGCTTGGACTTTTGTCACAATAACACAAAAGAGGAAGGAGACATTAGCAGAGCACTACCTAACGAACAAGATTGGAAAAACTGGATGATTCTATGAAAAAATAAAAATTTTGGTTACATTTCATCCAAGGATTAATGAGACTTGAGGGAAAGGAGAACCATTTCATGCACAATAACTTGTTAAGGTATTAAAAAGGGGACAGGGGTTATGGACTCCGGAAAATGTGCATGATGTAATTTTTGAACAAGCCTTAATAATTTACTTGAAGTAAAAATACTAACGTATCTTTTTTTTTCGAATTTTTGCAAATTCTAGAAAGACAATTAAAGGGGACATCAACAAGGATGGGTTTCTTCATCCACAGCTAGCTTCCGGCCGTCCTAAAGTGGTCCAATTAAATTTTTGAACATTATAATTCCTGAAATATTCGATGAAGGTACATATTATCCTTATTTCAATATTTTTGAAATTCTATGGGAGCAGCTCTGATACATTCTATTTTTTTGCTGTTAAACCATTGTTAGTATTAGTAGTAAAGTATAATAAGCCATAATGAAAAAGGCAGAGGTCACTTACTCGGTATTGAGTCCATTTTGCCCAGACTTGAGGAATTTGTACAATGGATGGGCTGAGGCTGAATTCACGTCGATTTTTTCAAACACATCAAACTTAACACCTCGTTTTTCTATCTTTCCCCTTACTTTTTCGTTATCGCCAGGCTCCTAAAAGAGAGTACATTTGATGAATGAAAAACTTGTTTCAAATCAGGTAAAAACAAATTGGAAATAGGGGATATATTGAAGTACAATCTGACATGTATTAGCCTAACTGACATGTATTAGGCGATAACCTTTCCTTGCAAGATTAAAACCACATTCCTAAAAGCCTATTACACAGTTTACATACATGTAAATATTTTAAATCCAATGATGAAATTACTTTAACTCTCCATGCTTCTTATTCATTCGCTCCCTCAATGGGCCTGTTGCAAACTTTTGCTAGAGCAAAAATAAGAGTTGTTTCTTCTAGATAATGCCTCAAAAATCACGATGAGCGCATCGGCAAAGTCTGAAATGCACTCATAACTTCACAGTCTGCGTAAGAAATTTGCGGTTTTTTGAGCTTCCCGCTTCAAAAGCGATACTACGGCACAGGTGAACATTTTGTAAAAGGAGTCGTTCCATCGTCGGCAATACTCATCATGGCCGACGCCAATCCGCCAAAACACGTGTGATGGGACGAGATAATACCTGAACTGGATTAGACCAGATAACAATCGGCGTGTTTTAACGTTCATGTTTTCCACGCCCGAATTGATTGACCTTGAACTATCCTCGAATTACGCGCGTGCAAGCGTCGGCCATGATGAATATCGCCGACGATGGAGCGACTCCTCTAACAAAATGTTCACCTGTGCCGTAGTATCGTTGTTGAAGCGGGAAGCTTAAAAAAACGCAAATTTCTTACGCAGATTGTGAAGTTATGAGTGCATTTCAGACTTTGCCGATGCGCTCATCGTGATTTTTGAGGCATTATCTATAAGAAACAACTCTTATTTTTGCTCTAGCAAAAGTTTGCAACAGGCCCATTAATGATGACCGGAGGCATTAATGATTAGTTTTCATATTGGAGAGTTAAAAATCATTGAAGAACGAATTAGAGATGTGCAACATCCAAAATACACAGCAACTGATAGAGAAGCATTCAAAAAATGGCAATGGTAAATTAGTTAAAGGAATAATTGCATTCAATGAGACCTTTTAGTAAGGTGACATTGGGACTAACAAAATGGAGAAAGTCAAGATATCCAAAGTAGTGATTGTCAGGTTGACTGATTCAAAAAGCTGTTTCACACCCATGTAGGTAAGCTGTACCAAAAATAGAATTACCTGTTTCCCGAACTGATTGCAAGGAAATGCTAGGATTCTTAAACCTTTACTGTCACGATATTTTTCATCCAACTCAACCAACTGCTCATAGTTTCTTTTTGTGTAACCACAATTAGACGCCACATTGACAATAAGCAAAACATGACCTCTAAAATCAAAGCAGAGGCAGATAAGATTAATAAGTTGACAAAACATGATAAGAAGTATGTTAACATGTGAACGTTGTATTTTAGAATTTTAAACTTGATATCCATAAAGATTAGACAAATAACCTAGAATAAAAGCAAATACTTGCCAGCGATACCAGAATGCTTTGTAGATAGTCCATTTTTTTATTGGTCGATCGCCTCTCTAAACAGGAATGTAAGGGCTCAATTTTATTCAACGTTACCTTAACCGGGATCATCATCACATATTTGCCTTTTAAACATTATCATTCACTTTATGTTATGAAAAGAATGTAAAGGAAAATGCAGGACATATTATGTAAAGGTCTGCAGGCAAGACCAAACAAGATGTAAGGACTTTCTAGGGCTTCTGCTTTGTTTTTTAGGGAATTCCATTTTGGGAGTTTCAAATGTTCCTCCCAAAAATCTAAAAGACACATCAGCGCATCCTATTAAAATCCATTCAGAAATAAGTAAGCTACCAAACAATTAAATACCTCCTACACATGATAACTTAAAATGGCAGAGGAAAAGGATAATTGTACGTAAATACTGGATTGTCTACATTTTTAAAAATGTAGAAAATTCAGTAATTGACATATTATTTACAATTTATTGTCAAGTAGACAACAGAGACCACAATCAGTCTAAATACATTTTGCATTTCTCTTTTGTTTTATTTCTAAACCTGAGCAACATGATAAGTTGAAACTGTTTGAAAGAATGGAAGAATTTACTCACAAAATTTCAAGTCGGAACAATGCTTGATTCTTGGTTATATATTAAACAGGAGCAAGAATTTGATGATGTCTGCCGGCTAGTTGTTGAAATTGATAGAAAAAAGAAAAATGGGGCGGTCCTATTGGTTGGAACGGGTTGTCGTTGTAGACTAAGCAGAAAAATGACAGATTAACTGTAGGGTCCCTTGTGAGTAGCTTTTAGTAATTAGTGTATTACTTACTTCCTTCATCCATTGCAACCATCTGCTTTTACCGATAGGATCACTCTATTTTTTCTTTGACTATCGCTTTGTATCAATTTCAATAATCAGCCTGCAGATGTAGGTAGGCTCATTATAGTTAAATTTACGATTGTGGAGATGAGATTGCTGGTGAAGAGTTCGACTCAAAACTCCAAAGCTCTTGGACTTTCTAAGATTTGAAATGAGAAAATAAAATGAAAACCTTTCAAGGCCTAAAGAAACTTGATTAATTATTGTTTTTTAAATTGTATAAAAAATCTCCAGTTGGAATGATTTTTACTTACTTATATTTTTCAAGAGAGATTTCTTCACCGGTGATTAATTTGGCTTTGAAATCATGGACAGACTTAGCATTTTTCCATGACTCTTCATCGGAACTTGCCGATCCATTCGCTGTATTTTCTTTCGTTTCTTCTACTTCTTCCTTCGCTGGCTCAGTGGCCTTCTTCCCTTTTGCAGCTTTCTTTGGAGCTTCAGTTGCAGTGCCGTTAGCTTTCGGAACAGAGCTTTTAGTCGCTTTTTCCTTGACAGGACCTTTTTTGGTTTTTTTAACTTCCTAGAAAAAAAGAGGGATCACATTTTATTTAAGCAGAGGGCTAGCTCAGCACAGTTAAAGTTACGTAATAAGCAACAGACGGTATCACTGGAATTCTACTCAAATTTCTACTGGTGCATCGTTCTTTGATATGTCTTGTAATCTAGCAGTACCAAAAATCTCAGAAAATATTTTAAGTGATTAGGTTTGTATCTTTCAGGCCCAACCAGGTAGAAGACATAGAAGTACAAGAATCAGTCAGGCAGTAAGTTTTCGTAACATATACCTACCACATTATACTAAAGTTCTGAAGACTTTTCCATAGAATGATGAATAACACTCCAGTATTCCTCTTTACTGTTTAAATTACTGACCCTTAAAGCAAAGGCTCTAAGGGTAATTTCATGCCAATACAAACTCAAGGAAATTGATCATTTGGTGAAAGTATTTGATCTCCTTTTCAAGTCTTTTCTCAAGGTTCAATTTCTCATTATCCTACATTATTTCTCTAGAAATAAGCAGAGGACTTACTTTAATTGAGACTGGTGCAGCTGTGCGTTTCCTCAATGTTGGAGCCTGGAAAAACAAAGAAATAAACGTAATGAATACACTTAAATGAAATAATCCGCAGCAAAATGCTGCAAATTCTTGTCTATGATTCTTAAGATGTGTTGCTCTATAAAGGTTTTACTGGTTTTGTCAGTTTTCTAGTAATATAGGTTGTAACTCTACAAAATTTCAGTGACATATTTTGGTTATTCTTAAGGAAATTTACCAGGCCAAACCCTGGTACTTTCAACGTAGACTTGTCATCAGCAACTTGTGTTGCCTTAGGATGGACTGAACAATTGATACAACATATAAGATTGACCAAAGTCTATTGGCTCCTATGTGGAACCCATCATCTCCTACACTTTAAGTAAGGAGGATGTTAGGTGCTGAGAAAATGTGTCAGATTTAATTTATGACGTTGCTTACGAGAATAAGGAGGCTAAGACTGCTCAGTCAAACTGGAGGATACTTATTTACCGAAAACAACTATTATCTTTGAGTCATAACATCGATGAGTGAGGAAGTCGCCGTGTTGACCAATCAAATTCGCCCTCGATTTGCCGCATTTGCACTAGCGGCTCGTTTGAATCTCAATGGAGTAACGATTTTTGGTACTTAGCTTTCATCCCCCCAATTATAAGACTTTGTAATTTGAATCAGTTATTTGGGAACAAGTCCATTTTTGCATGAGCCTTGACTTGCATAAAAGGACATGCAACAGAGACTCATCAAGAAATGTACCTGTTCCCTTTTGAAAACAACTGATTCATTTATAGACTGGTCAGTTTGCTAAAGTGAAATATAATCTTCTTTCAAAAAGGTACTTAAGAATATTTCTATCGGATCAGCCTCTGGGAAGATATTGGCACAAAAGGAACATGCATCATATATGTGTGCTCCCACAAGAACATGCATTGAACCTCAACAGACTTTCATCCACTAGCTTTACGTCACAAAATCGCAGTTACAGCATCTCCATTCTCATAGCTGACGTATACAGGTTCCTTTCCTATGTTTTGAAGTAACCTCTCAAAAATTCAGCGCCCCTCTGAAAGAAGCGCTGTAGATTGTAGTCTTTCATCAGAGAATTAAGTATGACAGGAAAGCAGATCCGGGAGGGTATGGATTCGGTTGACATGAATCGTTGGAAAAATAATTGAAGAACCGGTGTCGATTAGATCGAAAAACGAAAGCATGAATCTATCAATGTGAATCAATCGACACCGATTTGACCGACAGTGAATTTAAAAAAACCTGCGACAATTTCATCAACATGAATCAATCGGAAAATGAGAACGTGAATCGATCGACACAGATTCAACCGACAACCGTTAATCAATCGACAAACCCGTGAGTCCATTGACAAAAGCTGTGAGTCAATCAACAAACCCTCGAATCAATCAAATCGGTGTCGATTGATTCACGTTTTCAGTTTTTGATCAATTCATGTCGATCAAATCCATACTCCATGGAACCATATCGACGGTGTAAGTCGGCAATCACATATAACTCGGTTCGCGATGTCGCAGACTTCTCTGGGCAAAGAAAATTCTGCATAAACTTCAAGGAATGATGTCAATTTGTTCTCTTTTAAAAAATAACGTAGAGGCAGAGATTTTCAGACACCGCAAACGAGTTATGTGGTCGCCGACTTACACCGCCGATATGTAATCACTGCAACTGTGCAAGAAGCTGATACAAGTAAAACAAAACTTCCAATTACTGGCCTAGAACATGTCATTGGTCCCAATATGATATTGCAGTAACCATGAACCATGACATAACCTCTTGCTCAAAGCACGGGGTCTCCTACCTATTAAATAAGCTCAATGATTGAAAGATTAGGCAACTTCGTACAATCAAATTCATGATAGATCAGCCCATTAGACATGCTTTAGTTGCGTCATATCAAATATTTGAGTAAGACATGATTTGAAAATAAACTGCTCGTCAGGGATACATACAAAATCATCCACAGATTTGCGGAAAGAAAACTGAGAAAGTACGCAACGACAGCCCACACAGGGTCATCGGCAGCATGGCCTTGAGGTGAAGGAACTCCAAAAAAAGTGGGTAAACTATCTTGCAAGATACATAGTTGCACTTTGCAGTACAATATAGAATATACCTTGTGAAATTCATGCAGCCAAACTCCAAATTTGCAAGAATTCCACTGTCAGAGTGACAGAAGGTGAAACTCAAAACATATTCAATGTGAAATTGAGTTGTGTGAAGAGACAAGAGAAAGCTCACACAGAAGATGGAATATGCACGCTGAGAAGAGGTAAGTGAAACAAATTTACCATTTTGATCAGTTCCAAGACGTCGATAATCAATTTGGAGACACAGACGAGAATCGGAAGAAATTCTGAAACGAAAGCGCAGAAATTTTCCAGAGCAATATGGATCTGAAGCGCGAAAAGAACAAGATCACAACAAGATGAAGCCTGTCGTGGCACTCGTGGCGTAACCGCGAGGAGTGGATTGAGTGGATTCCTTTTTTTCTTTCCGCTAACGAAATTCCGAACCATAAACAAAAACAATCAGGGATTTTTGGAGATTTTTGATGACCCGCTACCACTATACTCGCGGTACTTGCTCGCAGACCAATCAGAATCCACGTTATGAATTTGATTTGCTCTGATTCGTGAGGAAAAAACAATGTTGCATTGTGGTCATAAATTTATTAATTTATTATTTGAGCACCGAAGTCCTAGAAATAATTATCAATATTGAGTCAACTTGTCTGCGACGTCAGAATGAAGTCTGTTTTCTTCAAAATTATATATACTTAATACTTCTAGAAAACCAACTTCTAAAAGCTCAGGTACTGCGCATGCGTTATCAGCGCTATGCATTTCAATTTATGAATGAGATGTTCAAAGCAGAGTGGACCAATGAAAGTCCAAGAATTCCATTAAGTACTATGCGTAGTATTTTGTAGTAAGCGTTGCCGGATCGAATGAGCAAATGACGGTAAAAACTTTCCAGACCGTGAAAACATGATTATAAACCGGAGATTTCGGTGGGAATTTTGCAATTTCTCATCTTACGCACTCCTTTCGCATAAAAACGAACTGAAACCCTCGGAAATCTATTTCTTTGGATACATAAGTACTACCAGGCCCGCCACATCCCATCTCGGGCCCTGGTGCCAGTTTTAAGGTCCGGGCCCCAAGCACGGAGGGGGGGGGGGTCAGAGGGGCATCCCCCGAGAAATTTTAGAATTTATACGACTAATCGGACGCATTTTGAAGCTTCCATAAATATTTTTTCATCAATTTCTACGGAATAATTATGTTTTTTTTTCTACTTTCAGCACAAAATACTTGCGAATTGTTGCATTCAAAACATCTGGAAAATTTTTATTTTTTTTTGGGGGGGGGGGCTATGATACTATTTTCAGTTCTAAGAGGGCCAGGCCCCCCTGGACTCCCCCTTCGTTTGTCTATCGCAAGGGAATTCAGCTATGAGCCATTGAAGTCGAGGATGCCCAGACTGGAGACTCTTAGCATCTGACGACGGAAGAAAATGAAACGCAGTTACTAAAAATATCCCTCCATACTGAAAATCTTGAAAATAGATAGACATTTTCCAAGATGTATACTTCTTTGAAAATTTAAGAAGAATTCTACAGTGCCCCAGCGTGTTTCTGAAAATCTATTCACCTTTTGCGAAATTTTTAGGGTAAATTTTTCACTTTTTCTTACAAAACAAGGGTTGCATATGAATTCGTAGTGGTTTTTCACGGGTAACACGGGCCCCCGCCGGGGCCCGGGCCCCGGTACCAGGTACCCAGTATCCCCCCCTTGTGGCGGGCCTGCCTTCATGCACGCTGGGCTTGTCGATTTCCTTTGACATTTTTGCTGTGGTGAATGCATAGCTGAAGTGCGCTTCAGCTAGAATTGCATTTACAAATGGGTGGTTTCTACGAGGATTAAAAATAAACAATTAGCACGGAATAAAACAAAAGAATATAAACTATGCAAAACGGTAATCCGGGTATCGGAACATGGCTGTTTTGAAAACGCCTTCAAGTGCGGCGTTATACCTCACGCATTCCGGAGAGTTCGAATAGTTGTGTCATTGCGCCGTAAGAATGTGACGGAAGATTTAAATGGAAATAGCCTGAATGCACGCTGGGCGTGTCGATTTCCTTTGACATTTTTGCAGTGGTGAATGCATAGCTGAACTGCGCTCCAGCTAGAATTGTATTTAGCAAATGGGTGGTTTTTCTACGAGGATTAAAAATAAACAATTGGCACGGAATAAAACAAAAGAATATAAACTATGCAAAACGGTAATCCGGGTATCGGAACATGGCTGTTTTGAAAACGCCTTCAAATGCGGCGTGATACCTCACGCATTCCGGAGAGTTAAAATAGTTGTATCATTGCGCCGTATGAATTTTACGGGAGATTTAAATGGAAATAGCCTTCCGTACTACAGAGCGTTTTCTGTCGATATCAAAAAATTCGGTCATTCACTCCGAAAGACGAAAATAAGTAGCATGGTAGTCTTAGGAGACTAATACTTTTTTTCATCACAAACGGTAATATTTTGATCAGGAGATCGAAAAAGCCAAAAGAATCAATCGCCCTTTCCCCCTTCCTTGGCGGAGGACTTTAATTCCGAAGACCTTTAATCGTCTGTGAAGAGAGAACACAAAATAGAAAATTTGGGCAGGTACCTTTTTCATTACAAAATTCAAAATTTTTTTCGGTTTTCCACGATAAAACCTGACACGGTTAAATATTAAATTCGCCCATAGCAAATTAAAGCAGAATTGTTCAAATTAGTTATGATCCATTACTCTACACCAGAATAATAAGATTCGTTATCATTTAATTTTTATCGGATAATACAAAAAACATGTTTACGTAATTATCCGGGTTCAATCAATTTATATAAACGTCGGTAAAGAATCATCGAAGACCAAGGATAATCGGGTAAATAGTTGACAACATGGAATTGATGCAACCTATTTCAAAATAAACCCGCGAAAATCGCGTGTTCAAGTGACGTTTCGAGGAGGAGGAGGGCGGAAGGAGGGGAAAATTCCATTCTACCGACAGTATTAGCTTCTTTAAAAAAAAGTGAAGAGAACTGCAAACAATAATGCGTTTTTCAAAGAGATTACTCGCGTTCCCCGGTATGTTATGTTTGTTGCCTAGGTGGCAGAATTGAAGGCGGACCTGAAGTTGACGATTTCCACCGACACTCGATTGGCTCCATCGATATTCAAGGGGCGAGTATAGGGCGATGGTGAAAGTGCAAAACCACGTATTTCCACTGCACTGTTCCAAAATTTCCACTCCTACTTTAATTTTTCGAAAAGTGACGAAACAACTTCAGAGTTTGAAATGCATATGGAATAATCTACCAGGAGAGGAGAAAAACTACGGAGGTTTTCAAGAAATTGCGTTGACTCGCATCGCTTCAGAAAAAAAAATAAAGTATGGCAAGAAGTCTGCAACGTCGCAAAAGGAGATACGTGCTTTCGCACTTTAGCCATCGATGTGTTTTCCGAAGAGAAGAGATAACTGTTCACGTTCTTCGGTATGACGTACCGCCTTCAATTTCGCCGCATATGCAACAAATAATGCTTGTTGCCTATGCGTCAGAATTGAAGGCGGACCTGAAGGCTCCACCGGTACTTGTAGGGCGAGATGTGTGTGTGTTAGTCAAATTCAAGAAGCAATCCGGAAACTCCAAAGCAATGTAAACTGAAATGACTTCTCAAACTTGCAACAATGCAACTCGTCGTTACAATTTTTTCGCTCTCTGTGTCCTTATTCTTCTTTTTTTCATTTTTAATTTCACTTCCTGTTTCTCCCTCTTTGCTTTTCCTCTCCTTTCATCTTGTGCTGTGATGGCACCTATTTCAGCCACTCCTGATGCACCACATTCCCACCCTTAACGCGGCTCTGCATGAGGAATACGGCAATACCTCACTGAGCGGTTAGTGGCTGAAATTATTTTTGCACTTATTTTTTCGAATAAGAAATTTACACAAACTATGTATTATCGATGGCTACAAATCCGGAACCGGTGTGTTTCACGAATAGGTATCGAATGATAGAATGATAGATATAATAGAATTGATATCGCTCCCCGGTATGTTAAATGCTTGTGAAAATATTAAAAGCCAACCTCAAGTTCATAATATCTGCCAATAGAATTACTCCTTGCCTATTGGCTCTTTTGAAGTTTACGGAGCTACATACGAGAGTGTTTATGGTACAGATAACTTACTATTCGCGCCCCGCGGTATGTTAGTGGCCTATGTGGCGAAATTGAAGGAGTAATGTTCTTTCCATTTTTTTCAGTCAATTTTTTTCCCCCTTTTGGGAAACTTATCAACGTAATTTTTTGGAAATTGCCGGTATTTTTCTGTTAATTGAAGCATGTTGTGTGAACATTTTCCAACAGTAAATTAATTCATTTCCGTTCGAAAAATTAAAGGAAACGAGAGTTTGGAACACTAAGATCGAGGTGGGCACGTGGTTTTTGAGTTTAGCTATCGGTATCTGTAGCCAAAGTCAAAGCTCGCGTATCTCTATTAGCGACGTTGCAAATCTTCGCTCATGTTTTATTTATCGAGCGTAGATTCGAACCCTGTACTGTGTTCTATCAAACAATTAACTAAAAGACGTATTTGAAAACCAGATGACCGCAAATCTTTCGTATATCAGCGAATCACGTATTTTTTTCACCATTCATCTTTTCTTTGAAAGTTCGCATTTTCCCACTAATATTACCCACGCAATCGGCAGAAACGACGCAGAGGGTGTAGCCGCGCAGCTAATCCAACCCTTCCGGAAATTCTAGCGTTTACCATCACAAAAGGACCCTATTTTTTTCTCGTTGACTCGCGACTTACTTTTTCGGCAACTCGGGGATACCTGCTCGCAGGGTTGCCAGGCGAGCGTCCTCGCGGCCCGACTCCGTCGTCGGTGGGGATTTTTGCTCGGTGAACTTGGCAACCCTGCTTTCGCGAAAGTAATTTATTCGCGCTTGCAAATGCAGGCGTTCTCATGCGCGGCAATGCGAGATTAACCGAGGAGGTTAGGGGTTGATAATCTCACGGAAGTAGCGACACCGACCGGTGCGGCTGCAGTTTAATCCGATGTTGGCCATGTCCACCAAATATTCGTTTTTTAATTTTTTTTTTTTTTGGGGGGGGGGGGGACAATTCATCGCAATGTTGGTGATGTGATTGAAGTTGCCTGTGCTTCCATGAGAGTAGCCGGAGAAGTTTTGTTGTATACTTTTTGAGCGAAAATTTTTGAGAAAATTTAGAGAAAAGTGTATTATTCTTTTTTTGCAAAGGTTCATTTACCCTTCGTAAGGAGTCTATTGCCCCTCTTGGTATTGAGCGTGACCGTATGCAATCAAAAACTTTTCTATTGGGG